AAAGTTGGTATGTTGTGCATGCCACAAACATAAAAATAATAAATGAATAAATAAATAAATAAATAAATAAATAAATACGGGGGGGGGGGGGCAACTCTGAAATAATAAGGTGTCTCTAATGAAGGGGCCGGTAAGCATCTGTACAGAAGTCGTGTGCTGCACAAGTCTGCTTTAAAGTTTTCCAAGCATCGGCCGCTTTTACTTCCGGTAAAATGTTGTCATCGTAAGTTTAAATACTGGCTGACAGATACACACTTGAGAGGACAAGGAGGGTTGTTCCTCCCGGTGTTGTGTCTGTGTGAGCTATTCTGCTCTCGCCGCTGCCTTTTAAATAGCCAGATTTTGACTGCGACCTTCGCTTACGGCCATACCACCCTGAGCACGCCCGATCTCGTCCGATCTCGGAAGCTAAGCAGGGTCGGGCCTGGTTAGTACTTGGATGGGAGACCGCCTGGGAATACCAGGTGCTGTAAGCTTTTGGTTCTCCTTCATTTGTCAGCTAATACACTTCTTCAGCTCCCAGCTTTGCTGCTATCTATAAACTTTCAATTCCATTGCATCCTATTCGCTTTTCTCTGGGACTTCTGTCCTATTCAGAGCAGCAAGGGAAAGCCCAGCTGTGTCATTTTTTCTTTCCTCCTCCAGGGGGCGATGGAGAGGCTTCTCCCTCTTTCTCTCTCCCTCCCCCTCTCTATTGAGTGAAGGAACTATGATGTCAATTTGTATGCAAGAAACCCGGAAGCGAGTTAGCATTTTAGCAGTTCCGGTTCCCTCGTCCCAAAGTCAATGGGTTTTTTGTATGGGGTTTCAGTAAATTTGTTTAAATAAGGTTTACGACATAAAACACAGCTGTTACATCACACTTGATTTTTTTAAATTGGTTATGCTTCTTTAAAAAGAGGGTTCCTATCAATTTGCTAAATGGGACTACAGGCTTTGTTGAGGACAATATTTGTCATCGAGATGATCTGGTCTGGACTGGACTCTGGAGCACAGCTCGCTTGTGTTGGGCATTTGGATTTGTCTGTTATTTAGGTATTTTCATGAATAGTATTTTATAGTTTGTATAATTATTCAAGTTGGAAATTCAGATTGTGTGTAGATAATGTGTTCACTTGTAAAGGCTGTCGAGACAGATTCATTTGTTGATCTTTTATTTTAATAAACGATAATATGAAGATGCTGCTCACCAGTGCAGCCTGTCTCTGTCCTTCTCTCAATAATGCAAACGTGTGAAAAAATGTGTAAAAATTATATGCATGTTAACTGTCATTTTAACGTGATCAAGTGATTTTTCGTCTTTTTTTCTTTATCTGAACACATTTAACTCTGTCATAACTGCAATGTTTACACTCCTCCATAAAACGTATAGCAGATGTGACTGTATGGGCTGCTTTTCGCTGTACTTCGTGTCAAAAAAGGAAAATTTAATGTTGTTCTCGATCCATAATAGAGATTGCAGGCATTTGATAGACTTGTTCCTCATCACGCCTCATTTCTGTCGTCGGTTAATGTAAGCGTGCTGTGTGCTCGCAAGCGCTACACTTATTTAAACGTGTCTTATGATAATACTATGTAGGCAGATTTTTGCACAGTTTTTAAACTTTTTGAACAACCATAAAGCAAAACAGATGTATTTCCCATGTAAAAATAATCCAAAAGGCAAACAGGTCTATGTGTTTTTGCGTATTTATTTGTTTATAATATGTACCGTGGATTATAATATTGTAAACAGAGAGATTAACTTTTTGTCATGGACATTATTTCTAAAAATAAGTTTGATAGGTTGTCTGTAGCAGGGTGGTGCTGACGTCACAGCCGAGTGCCCCGAGGGCACTTAGCTTTTCAATTCTTGCGTTTGCTTTTAAGATTCAAAAATGTTCAAAGTTGTATTTAGTTGTGAGGATTATCCGGCTAGACAAAACATGTAAGTGTAATGAACAGTGTTTGAACACAGAGCTTATTATTTGCAAACTTTGAAAAGCCTATGGAAAAATCCTAAAGTGATTTTCACGAGGGAACCAGTTTTATGCTAGCAGCCGATTAGCCTACAAAGTGACATCATAGTTCCTCCACTCTATAAACCTATATAGGGCGTCTGCAGACATGGATCCAAGAAGTTTTACGGCCCAGGCAGTTTTACGTCCCACAGTTTTAGGCCCCTGTTGTTCCTAATGCGTCCAGTAGGAGGGCTGAAAGATACATGGCCAAATAATACATTTAAAGTCAACAATCTCAGATTATTAAATGTCCTGTTCATTAATATATATTTTTAATTAGATCACGGTAAATATGAAAGCTAAGTTAATGTATCAGAAAGTGAGTTATTAACTTACTAGATAATATGCAGAATTGATACACTTACCAGTTTGCCAGTTTTCTTTAAATGAAGCTGAATCCTTACATCAAAAAAAGAAAAAAAGAAAAGTAAATACTCTGTAAAAATCATTTTCTTACTTAAGAGTTTCTGACTTGTTTCTAGTCCAAATATCTAAAAATTCGTAATCCTCAGAAACAGCAAGGATCTTAATCCTCAGAAACAGTAAGGAATGGAAAAGAAAAAGAAAAAAATGTCATGCCATTTTATATATTACCTGGACCTATTCAAAACATAAAAATATTTTTTTTATTTGATTTATGATTTAAGAATTATAACTTGAGGTATAACAAAATGATCAAGTCATTATTTTAAATGTTTTGTTATTAGCTACAAATTGTGATCCTGACTTTCCCATATTTAGCATATTTATTTTCTTTGTAACAAATTGTTACAATAAATATTATGAAACAATAAGTGATAAACAATATGAATGCATGTAAACTTCATTGCTAATATATAAAATGTACTGTATAGCTAAATGAACAAAAATAAGTAGACCATTTATAATTTTGAGTTTCTCCATGCATTTATATGATAGCTTAATTGTTTAAACTAGAACAGGATTGCATTATATCAAATGTAATTGAATGCAATGCAATTTAAAATTTTTAAATAAAATCAATTCAATTTTCAGATCTGTTTAGATTTATTTCAATATTTAAGAAAGTCAAATATGGAGGAATAATGTAGAGTAGTTGTAGTGTAGATTTGGCTGACTACCCAGACCACGCAAGTGTATTGTCTAATCTATGAGAAAATATATATCTTTAAATTAGTTATTAAATATATAATAATTACTCCCTTGCTGAGAAAAAAAAGTAAATGAAAACTAGCCTACATAACACACTTTCTTATGTAGGTTAATGTTCTTTTACTTTTTTTGTTGATGTAGAACATGTAGCTAGCCTGCCTTGCTAAAATTTAGTCAAACTAACACATTGCTGTTATATTACACCAATTTGTTTGTGTTGACATACACTCATATCGACCTTAATCTAATAAAAAATGTTTAAGTTTCATGTTTGCTAATGTTTTAAACACGTATTTACCATACCTCTTCATCGTGTCGCGTTTGATTGGGTGTGATAAAGCTCTGGATGCTTATACTGTACTGTGCTCCCACTACTAGACGCGTCAGGAACAACAGGGGTGTAAAACTGCCTGGGCCGTAAAACTGCTCAGGCCAATAATATCCAGCTGCAGACCCGCAGAACCACACACGTTTTAGGCACACACAATCTAGGACACACAATCTAGGCAAACCATAAATGGTTATGACGGATGTTAAAGTTATAACGTCTTTTTGGACATCTTCATCGATATATTTTGATATATTTGATTAATAAATATTGTACACAATAAACAATAGTGTTAACTTTACTTTATTTCACAAATATTGCGATTGAGACGGCCGAATGGGGAGCATTGTTTCCGATCGCCATTCAATATAATAGAGTGAACAGTTTTTAATCAGTCATTATAGCTGATCAGTCTTTATTACCTGACAATAATTTGGCAGATACACGTTTGCTGGCCTTGCTGAATGATCTCATTTGGACCGGTTTAATTTATATAATGGATTAATTTATGATGAAGGAAATAATAGCAAGTTAATATAGGCAATAATACATTATATGTAATAAAATATTTTTACATGTAACAAATGTATAACACTATATTAATATTTTACTCAAGCGGTGTTTATTAGCTTAATTTTCTAATAAACTTTTAATTAATGATTTCCCACATTTAATACTCTTAATAAAACTATTAATAAAATATTAACTATTAATAAAAAAATCATAAGTGTATACACACACACATATACACACACACACATATATATATATACACACACACACACACACACATATACACACACACACATATACACACACACACACACACACATATATATATATATATATATATATATATATATATATATATATATATATATATATATATATATATATATATAACAGCTTTAACAGTGACAGTTTAGTAAAAGATAGTAGTTTATATATAAACTTATAATTATAATCAGTTAAGATAATCAGTTTATAACTATATTGTTTAAATGGTTAACTATAGAAGGCTAATTTATTTTAAAGTGACATTATTGTTTGCTTTTTTATATTTTACAACAACGTGATTTTAACGAAGTATGATAATATTAAGAGCTTGAATTAGTTTATTACACTTAATCCAACAATTAGACGGTCTATTATGTTTTCTTTGTGTATATGGACACATGAATAAAGTCATAAGTGTCTTTAACCAATTATTTTTATTGACATAATTTAAGTTCAGAAACTACAGAGACTTTAAAATGATCGTTACGATATAATAATAAAATTGACTGAAATGGCAAACCATATTTGTGAAATTCAATAGGTGGCGATAATGCTAAAGAGTTAGTTACCATATATGGTTTGCCTAGATTGTGTGTCCTAGATTGTGTGTGCCTCAAACGTGTGTGGTTCTGCGGGCCTGCAGCTGGATATATCTCGCTCAGGCCGTAGATCTGTCTGGATCCAAGTCTGCAGTCTCCCCCTCCTCCTATAAAACAAATTAAGCAAGGTTCATGTAATGGCTTCAATGTACATTAGGTGGCAGGAGTGATCTACAGCAGCGAGCCGTGCTTAAACAAGAAGAAGAACCTTGCGTATTAGCAAAAGATGAGTGTTTATCACTTCGTTTAACACAGCAGATAATTAGTTACAGGACTACTACGTTTCAATACATTTCAGTACGGCATTTGGAACATGTACGAGTAGACATATCGGGTAAACATATCGTTTTAAGCATGTATTCGGTTCATAATGTGACGCGATTGTTATTGGGAGGCAGGTAAGATTGTGTAGGGATATTTCACTTTTAATTATTATTAAGAGCTGTCAGTCTTGCTTTCAGTTTTAGACGATCATATTGAGATTATCTCCTGCAATCATGGTGTGCGTAGATGTTTTGTCTCTTTGTTGGAGTGGGGGCGATTCTATAATTGTAGAACAATTGTTTACATGTTAATTGACTTAACTCAAAGATTCTGATGTTTTGAATAACAAAAAAGCTTAAAATCATATGACATACTTGTTTTAAACTATCTGGAATTGTCTTGCTCATTTCAGTAATGTTTATAAAATCATTTAAATTATAAACGTTTTTGTAACCATAAATTATAACATTAATTACAGACCAGTGGACTCACCAGTTTGAAGAACTTGGCGTAGGACTGTAAAATGGGTGCTGTATAGCCTTTATAGCTCTATTTGAAATCCCCTGTCTAAGACATCAAGTCTTAGGCCAAAGGCTATATCAACAATGCTGAGGTGGTTTTCCGCAGAGGAGTCCAGCACAGCTCATGAAGTAAGTGTGTAACGTTAACATTCTTTTCAGTAGAAGTGAACTGCATTTTTAAATGATAAATAATTAGTTTTTAAATGTAGCATGGTAGTGTTGTTTTTAGCTGTGATTAGCTGTGTAATAAGTAGGCCCACACATCATCTGTTTAATTCCACAGATTTATAGCTCATTACTGAGACTATTTATTTACTTATGTGTAAATAAACACACACACAAACACTCCGTTTTATATTAATTTCAGTAATATTATTGAACAATATGCAAATGTGCATGACTTATGTACGATACATTTTGTTAAGTAATATTTTCAAATAATATTTTAACATATGGTTTAATAAAAATATTTGCAGTTAGTAGTAAAAAAATAGTAAATAAAAAAGTCAGATGTTAATGTGGATAAACTTTTTCTCTTTTAGGTAAGTTAAGATTATCAAATTTGTTTCTGTAATGCCTAATAGCAGAATAATGAAAGAGATATTTTTTTGACAAATTGTTATAACTTTGAAATTTAAGTTTACATACAATAAGACTATTATGCCTCTGAAAAAGGTCAGATGACATTGTCAAGGTTTTGGAAGTTTCTGATTGGCTAATTGACAACATTTGAGTTAATCGGAGGCATACGGTAGAACAGTATTTAAGGAAAACCTCAAACACACTACTTCCTTGTGTAACAACATAGGAAAATCAACAAGCCAGAATCCACAAAAAAGCCAGATTACAATTTGCTAAATTACACTAGGAAAAAGAATAATTTTTGGAGACATGCCCTTTGGTCTGATGGAACTAAGATTGAACTGTTTGACCAAAATGACCAGTGTTACATTTGGAAAACAAAGGGGAAAGCTTGCAAGCCCAGGAACAACATCCCAACTGTGAAGTATGGGGGTGGCAGCATCATGTTGTTGGGCTGTTTTGCTGCAGGAGGGACTGGTCCACTTGACAGCATAGATGGCATCATGAAAAAAAAGAAAATTATGTAGAAATACTGAAGCAACATATCAAGACATTAGCCAGGAAATAAATACTTGGCCACAAATGGGTCTTCCAAACAGACCATGACCCCAAGCATACTGCCAAATTAGTTAAAATATGCTTTAAGGACAACAGAGTGAATGTTTTGGAGTGGCCATCACAAAGCCCCGATATCAGTCCTATAAAAATTTGTGGGCAGAGATGAAAAAACTTGTGAGAGCAAGACAGCCTACAAATCTGACTCGGTTACACCAGTTCTGTCAGGAGAAATGGGCCAAAATTCCTGCAAACTATTGCGAGAAGCTTGTGGAAGGATACCCAAAACATTTGACCAAAGTTATACAGTTTAAAAGCAAAGCTAAAAAATTACAATGGAAATGTATGTAAACTCTTGACTGTCTAGAAATTAATAAAAAAATTCTCAAAAAAATAATTCTCTCATTATTCTGGCATTTAGCAAATGCAAATCATTTAGGTAATCCCAACAGACCTAAAATTGTAAATGTTTAGCATGATTTACTGTCAGACATGGTTATGGTCTTTTTTTAGAATGTATGTAAACTTTTATTTGTGTGTGTGTGTGTGTGTGTGTGTGTGTGTGTGTGTGTGTGTGTGTGTGTGTGTGTGTGTGTGTGTGTGTGTGTGTGTGTGTGTGTGTGTGTGTGTGTGTGTGTGTGTGTGTGTGTGTGTGTGTGAGAGAGAGAGAGTGAGTGTGTACTTTATGTTTTAAGTTTTTAAGTTAATTGGTTAAACTAAACTGGCCATAATGTATGAATGTAATGAATTAGTCTGCAGTGGCTGCCCCTGATAAGCAGAAGGAATGTGATTGTTGTGTTTTTAGTTATCATACTCTCAGAATAATTCAGCATAAATTTGCACAGAAATTGCAAAAAAAATGTCCACACACTTTGGCACTGCCTGCAAATAAACCACATTTAAAGGGACAGTTTACCCAAAAAAATAAATCCATTCTTTTATTTTCCTTCAGCTTAGTGGTTCCAAACCTTTACATGATTCTTTCTTCTGAACACAAAAGAAGCTATTTTGAAGAAAGCAAAACGTCTGACAACAACAATCAACTGATTTCCATAGGAAAAGCAAAAACTACAGAAGCCAATGGTTACAGATTTACAGCTTTCTTCAAAATGTTGTATTTTGCGTTCAACATATTTAAAAATAAACAAAAACAATAACAACAATAAAAAAAAAAATCATTACAACATTTTGATTTTTGCATCCTTTTTTAACACCACCATTCACCCTCTATAGTGGAATCATTTGGGGTAATAACCAGTGTGCATAAAGTACTATCACATGAAGGGTTATCATCACTAATAGAAAAATTTCTTGTCTCAGGCTCCTGGCTCACCGCTAGTGGAGATGGGCTCTGATATAAGATTTTCAGAGGTCACGGAGCAGCTGGCACAGATGGAGGAACTTGTGTCTCATTTAAAAGAGTTGATCAGGGAGAAAGATGCAGTACTCAGCAGTAAAGATGAGCAAGTCAAGGTAATTTCTGTTTCTGAAAGAATATTTTCTGTGTCAGTGCAATGAGTGGGATATTTTTTTAATTTGATGCCATTCAAGCATACAGTGACTTGATTACAATCCATGAGGAATTGGAATTATTTTATTTGTGTTTTTATTTTTTTTTTTAATCAAAACTAAATGTTTGTTTCTAAATTAAACATTGCAGGTCATGCTGTGGTTCTGTACAAAATCTTCTCTAGGGTTGTGAGTTTTTAATCTGTCTTCATATTAAATTTTAACGTCATATGTTCATGTTGTCCACAAGTATAAAGTTAAAGATTACTGTATTCATCTTATAGAAATAGTCACTTTTAAAAAGTTTTTACTATTTTAATAGCAATTGCTTTGAAATATGAGATGTATATGTTACAGTGCTATTCTCTGAAAGCGTAGAGCAGAATATTTCACAGAACATGGTGATTTTCGCATTCTAGTGCTTTGATTGTTTAACTTATATAGCCACTGTCAAATATTGCTTGTTGTACTTTGTTCAGGGATAAAGTGATTCATATTGTGGTGCTGCACTTAAAATGCCATAAAAAGACATAAATAGAAGGCAAGAAAACAGTGAGTGTTTTTTTGGTGGGTGGTGGTGGTAAACTATTAATAATATTTATTATTATAAACTGCCTACTTCTGTTTAAATTATTTCCCATATGATGTTTAACAGAGCAAGGACATTTTCAGTGTCTGATCTGATAATATTTTTCTTCCGGAGAAAGTCTTAATTGTTTTATTTCGACTAGAATAAAGGTAGTCTTTTTTAAATTTTTTTAAACCAAAGGTCAAAATTATTGAGACGGTGCTCACTGCTGAGCCATTTCAGCAGAGCTGAGCTCCAGCGAGGGGGAGCATGAGCTCTTGCTCCTCCTCCTATAAGCTGTTTTAATGCGTACACCAAACCCACCCCTAACCCTACCCCCAGTGACATCACTCGTAGAAGAAGTGCAAGAAAGGTGGAACAAGAGCTCATGCTCCCCCTCGCTGGAGATCAGCTCTGCCCAAATGGCTCTGCAGTGAGCACCACTTGAAATATTAGCCCCTTTAAGCTATATATATTTTTTTCTATAGTCTACAGAACAAACCATCTTCATACAATAATTTGCCTTATTACATTAACCTGCCTAGTTAATCAAATTAACCTAGTTAAGCTTTTAAATGCCACTGAATACTAGTGTTTTGAAAAATATCTATTAAAATATCGTGTGTGTGTGTGTGTGTGAGTGTTTTTAATTAAATTAATAAAATTCAATCATTCTAGTTAGCTGAGAATTTGCTTTAGAAATGTTGCTTGGTTTAAAACTGGCCTCTGTGAGCTGCTCTTTGTATCACTCATCACGGTTTACAATGGACAGTCTGGTCAAACCTGCTATAATTAATATGTTTAAATAAGAGTAGTAGAAGGCAATCATCTGTTCAGTAACTGTTGATTCATTCCATGTAGTTAATTCATGTTCAGGCTTGTTATGTCAATGTCAAAAAGCCAGATTTTAGTAGATTAGTAAAACTTAAACTTTGATTTCAGCCTTATATTATAACATATCTTGAGGTTTTCAAAACTAGAAAGATGTATATTTGGTACAATATTAACTAAATAATAAGTGGTCTTGATATTTTTTTTGTTGTTTTAGCTGAAAAATATTGTTTACCTAAAAATGAAAATGACCTATTAATATATTCTCCCTCGTGTGGTTACTTTCTTCTGATGAATACAATATATTAATATTGTGAAGAATGCTGATTGCTGGCACCCAACAACTTCCATAGTAGGAAAGTGCCAGCTACCATCATTTTTTTTCAATATCATCTTTTGTGTTCAACTGAAGAAAGAGACTCAAAGTTTGAATAACAATTTATAGCTAAAGATAGTAGAAAAAAGGTAAATGATTTTCTGAATTTTTGGGTGAACGTTTTCTTTAATGCTAGATTTCTCTTATAAAAAAATATATATATATATGAGTGGTATCGTAAGTATGGCTCTGCAGCGAGCACCACTTGGAGCCACGGCCGCTAGGGGGAGAATTTAGGACGATTCTAAGGGCCCATACATTCAGGGGGCCCCCAAAGACATTAACAAGGCCCCGCACAGATATTAACAAAGGACAAAGCAGGACATATAGTAACCCCTCTCTTTTAAAAAAAAAAACAGCCAATAGTATTTAATTTTATCACATCTCTGCCAGCAGAAGTTATTGCACTCAAGCACATCAAATGAGAAGCGTCTTGATGGGGTGGGGAATGTTAGATACTATAGAGCAGTATCAAAAAAGAGAAGTAATCAAAAAATTGTTGACCCGTTTAGGTGGAAGTGATAAACCCAAGCTTTGCATGTTTAAATCTTTTGGTTTCAATATTTTTATTATTAGAAAAATTTTGCAGACATTTACTTGAAAATTAACTTTTTTTAAAACATGAACATTAAACTTGCATTCTAGCAATTAGACATTTGAAGAAAAAAACAATAAAAACAAAACCAGCAACAAACAACAGTCATAAAAATAATAATAAAACAAAAAAATTAACATGCATTCCCCAACCAACCACCCACCAGTGCTATCCAACAATAAACGTAGGTACTAAAGGCATAGTAAACAAATTAATCAAAAGTTTGTGAAAAGGAAAAAAAAAGGGACCAATTTTTTTTCAAATAATAAAACCTTGTCTATTAGGCTATATCTAATTTTTTCCAGATGTAATGTACCGGTTTACTCTGTCAGCCATAAATTAGGAGTTGGATATTTTTTTTCTTTCAAAACAAAAGGTTAAGTTTTTGGCAGAGATCAACCTATATGAAACAAACTCTTGTTGTACCCGTGTAAGTCTCAAAGATTCTTCAGAAACTCCAAATATAATTAATATAGGGTCTGGTTTAATCGGAATGTCTAATGTAACTGAAAAAATAAAAGAAATATTTTGTACCAGAAACTCTGTAGTTTGGGACACATAATATAGGAATGAGACAGGTTGGTATCTAAAAACTGACGTTTGTCACACACTGGGGACACTTTTGGAAATATTTTATACAAGTTACACTTTAAATAATGAAGCCCATGAAGCACTTTAAACTGAATGAGACATTGTCTTGCATTAATATATAACATCTGTTCTACTGCAAGGTCTTCTTCAAGATTTAATAATCTCCATAGAGGGACTTTTCATCTGTTCTAAACCCTTGTAAATGTTTATATCTTTTAAATGCAAATTTTGTCACAGTTTTGGATCACACTAGCTTATAGATATCCTTAAAGCAGACTGATGCTAACGTCTAAAAAAAATCATTTTAATTTCACTGCATATTTATTAAGTCAGTGTCATTAGACAAGATTTTTAAAATGAAATCTCTTTGAATGTTTTTAAAAAAGTGTCACCAGGATGAATTTTAAGTTACTTATCTAAAATTGAATTGAACAAATCATGTTTAACTTTTAATATATAGTTTTTGTTAATTGAATTGATCTATTTCTATTTATATATTTGTTTGTCGTATTGAAATATGAACACACAAGCAATTATATAGTCAGTCTTCTAAATCATTCTCAGATTTTATTTGCCATAATTTATGTGTGTGTGTTTGTTTGGTAGGAGCTGACAGAACAAATGCAGCGCTTGCGGAGTGAGAGAGAACACTCTGAATCAAAGCTGGACGCGGAACGACACATTGCTCGAGCTCGGCTCAAAGATCTGATGGAGAAACATGAGGCTGAGCTTTGCAGGGCTGCTGATAAACATGAGGCTGAGATGATGGAGAGAGAGCAGGCCTTGCGCCGACAGCTGGAGACCCTTCAGCGATCCATATCACTGCCTGCAGAAGCACACGCAAACTTATCCACCTCCATCACTACTCAGAGAGTCACAGAGCTGCAAGGTATACTCCGTTATGTTACATGCTTAGAGAAGCACATCTGCAGTTTAACCTTTATTTCTCAAATAACCTTGTTTTAAGGTCAAATGCCAGTCTTCTCAAGTCAAACCAAATCACTTTTATTGTCACATTATCAGCAGCACGTGTGCTGTGATGAGTGAAAAGCTTAGGTGCTGGCTTTGCAAATACAAAGACATAATACCACAACATACAACAGCATACTCCCAAAAAAACTGAACAATTGGCAATGTTGACAGCGATATGTACAATGAATAGGTGTACACATAGTTGTAGGCAGTATTGCTTCAAGTATGGGTTGGTTAAAGTGCAGTGCATGCTACAAATTGATGGTGCGCAGTAAGGGGCATGTCCATTTGTGTGGGGTGTGTTAAGTGTTCATCAGCCTGATAGTCTGAGGGAAAAACTTTCCTTCAGTCGGCTGGTGCGTGACCGGATGCTGCTGAACTGTCTGTCTGAGGGTAGCAGAGAGAAAAATCTATGGCTTGGGTGGCTGGAGTCGCTGATGATTCTCTTGGCTTTCCTCATGCACCGCCTCATGCACTGCTGCTCTCACATAGTGACTTGGTATTTCAAATAAACCTGTTTTCAGTGTGTCACTGAAAGAAGCAGTGCCTTGTTGAGATTGTCAATGCAATTTTTTTGTGCAGTTGTGCATGTACAGTATGATATGATACTCTTGTTGCTGCTGCTACTGTTGTTGCAGGCTGTTATTGCGGGCCTACCCACAGAGCATCATTGGCATAAATACCAATGCAGATATTCCATAAAATTAAAGACTGAATATGCAAATTGGATCAGAACAGTTGTGATGCACAGTGTGGTCAAGTAATTCAGTCAAATTCCTGATTGAACTGAATCTTTGCTTGAAAAAATATTATGATTATTAATGCTCTTATGTTTCAATATTGCAATTGCTATCTAATTGTCAAACATACAGCTGAAGTCAAAATTATTAGCCCCCCTGTTTATTTTTTCCCCAATTTCTGTTAACATAGAGTAGATTTTTTTTCCAACACATTTCTAAACATAATAGTTTTAATAACCTATTTCTAATAACTGATTTCTTTTATCTTTGCCATGATGACAGTAAATAATATTTAACTAGATATTTTTCAAGACACTGTAGACAGTAGTTCTGTAGACAGTGGAAAAAAATGCTTAAAGGGGCTAATAATTTTTTCCTCAAAATGTAAAAAAACTGATAACTGCTTTTATTCTAGCCGAATAAAACAAATAAGACTTTCTCCAGCACAAAAATATGAACAGACATACTATGAAAGTTTCCCTGCCCTGTTAAACATAATTTAGGAAATATTTAAAAAAGAAAAAAAATTAAAAGGCAGGCCAATAATTCTGACTTAAACTGTAGACGTTTGCAGAGAACAATTTTCATTTTTGTTAAACAGCATTTTTTTCTGGAGAGAATTATGCAAATATGGTAGATTATTATTTTTTGTTGGTAGAATTGTATCTTATTTTGTGTATATAATTAAATTTGTTGATATCTTTTTATTGTTATATTTTATCTGTTTTTGTCATGAAAAAGCCAGGAAAGCTGATAAAAAAACTCAAAACTGGGATTATTATTATCTTAAAGTGATTGATGATTCATATATATTGATATACAGCTTAATACCCTCACTCTGTTGAAAATATTCTTCTCAGTGGCTTTGTTTGAAGATTTTTATTCATTTTCTTCTGTTTAAATCAGCCCAAGTGAAATTGAAAGAAGCCGAAGCCAATAAAGCAGAAACAAAGTTCCTAAAGATGAAGGCTTGGTCCAAGTCTCGGATCAGGCAGCTCGAGGAGGAGCTTAAAAAAGTTCAGGTACTGTATAGTGCTACCAGTTTTTTTTTTTTGAGAGATGCATATATGAAAATCCAACTTAATTAACTCCTGTTTTTTTTCTTGTTTTTTTATTTATTTATTTTACTTCAGTCTGGCATATGTGTCAATATGTCCCCTGATGTCACATCCCTACACAGTCGCATAACTGAATTGCAAGAGGAGAGAGAGGAAATGCTCAGCAAATTGGAGCTGTATGAAGATATGAAGGCAAAAAATGGTATTTAAAAAACGGCGTCAGTTAATTTTATATATCTGAAATATTTGGTGTGGAGTGTATTATAGACCAACAATAAAATAATTGTTCTAATGAAAAATTTGTCAATTAGATCACGAGACAAAAAGAACACAAAAATATTGTATTTTATTTATTTATTTATTTTACATTTTTGCATTTGGCTTGTGCAATGTTAAAACCTTAAAAGTTCCACAATTTATGATGCAAAACTCAAAATCATATTTGCAATAACACATTGGCCAAATCCCTTGTTGCTTCTCCAGAGCTTTGAGTATTATTGCCGTCTTGACGTATGTAAATAGTTTTTTGGTATAATATAATATCATGCCAATCACATACAGTAAGGTAATTTCTTGTCAGCTTAAACATTGGTCCCCAGCTCTTGATGTTCAGTTCAGTTTACTTTATATGAGTATTTATGGATAGTTCCTCCTTAAAGTGATAATTTGCTGTTAGGTGCTCTCATAAAAATACTGCATAACACAATAACAACTTAATACAATAACCGACAGACAGACAGACTACCAAACATAAACATCACAGCAATAAGATGCCAAAAAAATTATATAATAAATGAGAATTAATACATGCAAAACCAAATCTACTGTTGCAGTTTTTTAAGTGGTTTGTTTTAGGATTTAATAGTATAATTTTCAAAAAAAAGCTCACAACACAATTAATTAATTAATAACATTCTAAACACTTTTTTTATTATATATAGAAAGAATAAAAAAGCAAAACATTATTTGAACTGACTAATAATATAATTTATTGTGTTGCAGCAGAATCACCGATCACAGCTCAGTCAGATCATGTGAAAAATCTGTCGATCTTTATTGCTTGCTAATGTAGGGGTTGACACAGCTGTCATAAGCCATGATAGAGCGAAGTCCCCATAAGTATTCTATTGGGCCTATTTCATTGTGGGTGGCAAAGAGACAAAGGAATTTTAGAAAGATAAAAAAATGGAAACAAAATAATTTTTACAGGATCAGTTCTATTGCATTTTTAAGACCTTTACTTTGCAATTTTAAGGCCTTATTTTAATGCTATGATTAGCAGACATCCTGCTAATCAAACAATATAACTATTAATATCGAGTATAAACCACTAACATTCTAAACAAAGTAAAAGGTCTAGTAATGGGTAATATCTGTTGCTAAAATGTTGCTAAATTTGCAGTTCTTTTATGTATGCACTGCAGAGTGACCAGCATTTACTATTTAAAAACTGAAATTGTCTGCAATTTAACAATCTTTTTTACATCTTCTGGGACTAAATTATGTAGGGCCATAAAATTTAAGATTCAAAGATTTAAAAAAGGCCCCTTATGTGATTGGTTACATTTTCTGAGGATGCCTAGGAGTTGGGGGGAAAATGTGCTTTAATTTTGTTTGAACAGCCTTCAGTTCTACTCTGCTTTGTACTACAGTGATGATAAGCTTTGAATATTTTAGCTCATCCATAAAAATATGTAGGAAACAAAGACAAAATCTCTTATGATTTCACACTCTGTCATTGGGTCATCAATCTACGCCTTTTAAAATATCTGGAAAAATTCAGATCCAACTGATTTTTTTTATTCATTATTCTTTTCACAGCATGTTTCTTTCTTTAGAAGAAATATGAACAAAATCTAATATTTGAAATTGAATTGCTGGAAGTGCCTTTTTTGACTGACAGATCTGTGTGTAAAATCATTGATTTGAAGATAAATTAATGCTGTGTCTTCCAAATACTTGAGCATGCAGGTACTGCACCTTTCTAATTTGCATGTTGTCATAATTTTCTTGTGCCATGAATAGAGGAATTGCGGAAGCAACTGATGGAGTATAAGGAACAGCAGAGCAAGATGCAGGCTGACCTGGAGCAAGTGACCAAGAGAGCATCATCACAGGCAATGAATGATTTCATTCTTTTGGTTGTATTATAATTACAAAACAGTAGCTATTGTCATGGGTAAGATGCGTTCATCAGATTTTAAAGGGGTTGTCCACAGTGTATTTTTTAAGGCTTGATTGTGTTTATAAGATGCAAAGCAATGTGAGCTCAGCTAACATGAAAACGACTGTCATATTTCCTAGTTTCTCTGAAAGGCCTGCCCTCAAGAGGCTCTGATTGGTCAGCTAACATAATATGCTGTGATTTGCGGATTGTCTCCATGTCACCACATCACGCCGCTACAAGTATGCGCTTTTGTGCTGTGTAAACAGTGAGTCAGAGCAGGTATTTGCAGTATTAGCTGCCTGAATCAGACAGAAAAATAAAGAGTACAAAGCTGAACCTCATGCCTAGTCTCTAAAATAGAATGATGAGGGTTTTTCACATATATTAGCGATAAGCATGTGCAAGTAATATAAATGTTCTCATACTTTTTTGCAAGGTTGGTATTTGAGATGTAGAACGCACGGAAAGCAGCGACATAGAGAGAAAGTGAAGCATCTGCAAAGAGAGACATTCCACGTGCTGCTGAAGATTGTGGGTGTTTACAGCTGTTTGACTGATAAATATGAGTTTGTAGCTAAATTGCTAGGAGTGCCAAACAGTATTTCCTATTGTTTACATCCTCACTACAACATACCATTTACGCTAGAAACTGTGCATGTAATTGATTAATTTTAACAAATAAAAAAACTTGCAGGTTGTGGCTCAAAATCCACAGCCTTGTCGGTTGAAGGGGTTTTAAAGTATCCAGCACAGAACTGGGACAGATTCTGGAAGCTGTCTTTTGTCAAATAATAGAGCTGTGTGTGTGTGTGTGTTTGTGTGTGTGTGTTTGTGTTTGTGTGTGTGTTTGTTTGTTTGTGTGTGGGTGTGTGTGTGTGTGTGTGTGTGTGTGTGTGTGTGTGTGTGTGTGTGTGTGTGTGTGTGTGTGTCTGTGTCTGTTTCTGTGTCTGTTTCTGTGTCTGTTTCTGTGTCTGTTTCTGTGTCTGTTTCTGTGTCTGTGTGTGTGTGTGTGTGTGTGTGTGTGTGTGTGTGTGTGTGTGTGTGTGTGTGTGTGTGTGTCTGTGCGTGCGTGCGTGCATGCATGCGTGCGTGTGCGTGCGCTGTTGTCCGGAGGTGCGTGTGTGCACGCGGGTTGTCGTCTGGAGCTGGGTTAAGTGTTTGTTTGTGTGTGCGTGTGTGCGTGCGTGCTTGCGTGCGTGTGCGTGCTTGCGTGCGTGTGTGTGTGCGTGTGTGTGTGACCGGAAGCACCTTGTGATCTCACTAACCCGAATGTTCTTTTTTTTTTTTTTTTTTTTTTTTAGTTCTTAAACGTTTGCTGTAGGCTTTGTTAAGCTAACTCTAAAAGCCAATGTCTCCTATTGCATTAAACTTTGACCTTATTAAATTCAGAGATGTTGTCGATGTTCACAAAGCTACATTACACATCAACTAAAGTTTAAAATATGGTATCATAGTGACCACCCCTTTAAACCACAGTAAAATGGAGACATTCTTTTTTTAATTCATATTACTAATTTTGGAATTCTTCTCAAAGGCATTTTCAGTTTTATTTACAGAGTTCAAACAGGCCATTTAATATCTTTTATATCCTTTAGTTTTAAATGGTCTATTCCAGACATTTGAAGGTAAGCCTTTTTTCATGGAATAGCAGCAATTTTTATTTGTTATTTTAGATTTAGCTCTCCAACTTATCTATTCTGGTTTTTTTTTTTTTTTTGTTTTTTTTAAGTATTTGACTTAATGTATTTTGCCTATTGTTATGGTCAGGCTATTTTAGTGCCATTTTACTTCTTTTCCCACTTGTCAACCAGCAATAACCTAAATGCTGTCCTTATGCTGTAATTGTTAACTGTCCATTTCGAACTGTAAATGACAGAAATCATTGAGGCCTGAAGATTACTGAGTCCCATTGGTCATACAAGTCAAAAGTGGTATGTAGCTATAATATTAGCTAGCTAATAGCAAAATATTTCAAAAGTGTAACCTATGTTAGTGTGCATAAGTGATCACTAAGAAAATAGAAATAGTTTCTAAATGTATTGCAGTTAATTATTGATCATTTTTTGCCTTCAGTTCATTATAAGTCATGGAAATTTGGTCAGTGAAAGTCAGAGAAGTCAGAGAATTTGAACCATGTGTTTAAAATTTGTCACTACAGATGTCAGCACGTTACTATTTTGCTGATTTCATTAGTATAGTAAATGCATTATGGATATTTCTGATCACAGGCGAGTGAGACAGGCATGGATGATGTTCAGGTCATGGAGTGGCAAGAAATGGTGACCATGGTGACTGAAGCAGAGCGAGGTCGGGATCAAGGTCACGAGAAGAACGTCATGGCCTTCAGAATGAGTCACATCGAGGAGGAGAGAGAGGGTAAGAATCCATAGATTATACATTAACAAATGCTTTAAAAACAAGTATCTTAGGTTCTGTGCAAAAAGAATTACTGCTGTTTGGTAGTCGAAGCAGAAGACCTTACTGTAAACATTACTGCAACAAACAGATGTGCATGTCTTTACAGTCTAGTGTATACCAGTGCTAATTTAATAACTATGCTAATATTTTTTGGATTCAAGCCTTAAAGCTTTGAATTTCACCCTAAAATGAAAATGCTCATATTTACTTAAACTCCTAAGTCTTTTTTTGTACAGCTTTAAAACTTACACTGTAAATATAGTATATTTTTAATAACGGTCACACATCTATTCTTCTAATAAAAGTTAGAACTAATTTAGTCAAATCCAAGCTTATGGTGAGTGAACATCACTTTCTATGATTAACAAATTCAAATGTTGGCTTATATAAAGTTGAAGTCAGAATTATTAGCCCCCCTGAATTATTAAACCGCCTGTTTATTTTTTCCCCAATTTCTGTTGAACGGAGAGAAGATTTTTTCAATACATTTCTAAACATAATAGTTTAATCACCTAATTTCTAATAATGGATTTATTTTATCTTTGCCATGATGACAGTAAATAATATTTGACTAGATATTTTTAAGACACTTCTATACAGCTCGAAGTGACATTTAAAGGCTTAACTAGGTTAATTAGGTTAACTAGGCAGTTAAGGGTAATTAGGCAAGTTATTGCATAACAGTGCTTTGTTCTATAGACAGTCGAGAAAAAATCTAGCTTAAAGGGGCTAATAATTTTGTCCCTAAAATGGTGTTTAAAAATTTTAAAACTTCTCTTATTCTAGCCGAAATAAAACAAATGACTTTCTATAGAAGAAAAAAATATTATCAGACATACTGTGAAAATTTTCGTAGCTCTGTTAAACATAACTTTAGAGAAGAATTCAAAGGGGGCTTTTGACTTCAACTGTGTGTGTGTGTGTGTGTGTGTGTGTGTGTGTGTGTGTGTGTGTGTATATATATATATATATATATATATATATATATATATATATATATATATTCACCTGTTTCATATATATATTCACCTGTTTATTGTCAGAGAACTAATTCAACCATACCTTGTAACTGGTTCTTGCATGAAATCAAACATGAAAAGCATCCACACAAGTGTGGAGCGTAGGGGTCCTTGCACATCTAAAGAATAGACAGAAATTAGCGAATTGATCAAAAACTTCTCAGAATGCATTACATTTTTATATAATTTATGTTTCCTAGATAAACAAATTTCTTATGGTCTTGAACAGCGTGAGGATGAGTGAATAATGACTGAGTCTTCATTTTGGAATGAGCTAACCCTTAAAGTATTATTTGATAATTTAAAGTATTATTTGACCTTGGTGCTGCTTTGGGGTTTGTTTGGCTGACGTGGGATTTTTAACTTTTTTAACAATTCAGTTTAGTTGATTCTTGATGCATTTATGATGCATTTTGTTCGCCATTTTTAAAATAAATTAACTCTAGGGATTAACGAATTAACAGTTACAATTAACAGTTTTTTTTAAAGAACAGATGTCATATTCCTAAAATATCTTACAATTAAAAGTAAATTTAATTTTCCTTCAAATTTGAAGGAAAACCTTCAAAACAATGCTCCCGTCAGTCTCAAATTTTTGTGCTTTTTATTTTTTATTTTTTGCTGCATTTCACAAGCAATTTAGAACTAAGACTAGCTTTTAAATCTGTGCAACATTAGGAGTAGTGAAAAGTAGTGAAGTCACCAAGACCAATCACAGACTATGTTAAAATGGCTGTGGCCAACAATCTACCTCAAAACATAAACATCTTAAAAGCATTTGACCACAATGAGCTTTTAAAAAGTCATCATCTCAATCAATGTGGTATTCACATAGCTTAGAAATGTTTTGAAATATACTTGAAATGTATTTTAAAATACAGACAAAAACATAATTTCAAATATGTATTTACACAAATTTATTTTAGAAATAGAATTATTTTATATTTTCCAAAAAAAATATTTTCTAAGAAAAAACATTAACTTGTATAACCTTGAAAGAAACCTTTATTTAATGTCTATAACATTAAAAGGCAAGAAACATACTTTTACAATGCATTTCTTCACTTAGCCCTCACTTTCAAATCTTTATTTGAATCTGGCAAAATATTTATTTTGAAATCTTTATGTAAATATGGCAACATAATATTGTGCTCACAAAGTTTCCATGGCTAAATCTCTAATTTACAAGATTAAGATTTGTTTTAGTGAGTTCTCGTGGTTCCTTAGTAAAAGTTTGTCTCAGCAGCTTAGTGAATGGCTTTTAAGCAAAATACTTTAACTGCTATTTAGAAGAACTCTTAGGGGTAAAATTAAATATTTTGTGAATTTCTTTCTTTGTAGTCGGCTAATTTAAACAAAAAAAAGGTCATAGCCTTAAAGTAATAATACATAATCAGTCAAAAAAATCAAGACAATAAACCTGCTTGTAATAATTTTTCAGACAAGAATAGTGATTGATTATTGTTCCTATTTCTTTATCGTTTCCGTTTTGTAGACGGCAGCAGGTGTAATAGGCTGCATTCATGCTAATGCTGAAATATTTTGATATTGTATGTTGTATGCTGTATTTTGTCAGCGGCTTGCAATCTCCAGCTGAGCTGACTGTATTTACATAAATTTTTTTATCAGAAAAGAGGGTTTGAAATGTAACTGCATTAAACAGTTCACATGTATCCACAGAGTGCTCTACAATAAAGGGATAGCTCAGCCAAAAAACACAATTTACTAACCCTCTGGTGGTACCAAACATTTATGAATGAAGATATAAGATTATAAGATATAAAAATGAGATATTTTTAAGAAAGCTGAAAACCTATAACCCATGACTTCCATGGAAGTCAATAGTTACAAGTTTCTAGCTTTCTTCAAAATATATTTTTATTACTTCTGCATAACGAAAGTCAAACAGGTTTGGAACAAGGGTCAGTAAACGATGACAGAATTAAACATTTGGGTGGACTGTTAATACTAGTCTACTAGTTCATGTCATAAAAGTGAAGCTCATGGTGCAAGACAAAAAAATGCAGACGTGACAGAATAGTCAAACATGTTTGTAATGTATGATGTGTTCATAGAACAGCTTTAAAAAATGCATAAAAATACCTGTTTTTGCTTGGATTGGCCCTCATTACATGTTACAACCGAGCCACAAATTGAATGCCTTTTACACTTTCACCACACATCTAAAACATTATTTTGCTATTTAAAGTATAACTTTGATATAAAAACAAGCTTTTCATTATATGTTAATGTCACATGCATTTAACGCTCTGGAGTGTTTCTGATCTTGTTGTCTTTTTTTAACCATTTGTTTATTCTGAGGTTCTGTTGTCCTTACCTGCAATGAATCACGAGAGAAGATAAACCCTTTTTGGAGATATTTGGGTTTCTGATCTACTATACGTTTCACACTAGATGCTGAAGCAGAGCAGAATCAGTGCCCTCATTGTGCTTTCGCAGTAATGCAGTAATTTACTGTTAATACACACAATCTAATATAACCATATAACATGTTAAACCACTTAACGGTGCTGTATGTAAGTTTTTATCTCTTCTAAAGCATAAAAATACCATAATATGCTAGTAAATATTTAAGAAGTATGCTATGTAAACATGTTTGTTTAACAGTGCTAAAATCAGTTATTATCCTTTGAAAATGTGTGTTCCTTGTCAGAATGTCTGTTTTGGTCTTTGTAACCTGCCCATTGCGAGTTTGCTCAATTACATTTTAGCACCCTGTTTTGTTTTTATATATATATATATATATATATATATATATATATATATATATATATATATATATAAAACACAGTGCTTTTCATTCATAAAGGCTCCCTCAGTGATGGCTGAAAATGTGACCTCCTAATGACAGTAACAGAATCAGGTCACAGTTTTACAAATCCGCATGAGGTGGTTTTTAATCATCGATTAATACAGATATTACAAAACTAAACATTAGTTGAGCAGCTTACAGGCTCTAGCGTCAGGCACGTTTGCTACTGTTTGTGTCATCAATCTGGCAACCTGCCAGTGTGTTGTGTGTAGTTATAGGAGCCGGGTCACCTTCAATATTTTGAATGTGGATTGCAATACGTAGTTGAACCACTAGGTGTCAATCTTGCATACTGCACCACTTACCTTTTGTTTATAGATTTAGGAATATTTAATCAAAGTTACTCCTAGAATGTAACTGTAGTTTAGTTAATGTAATGTTAGTTTAGTACCTAAACCTATAAGAGTTTTGTTCATCTTCAGAACACAGATGAATGTATTTTTAATGAAACACTGAAAGTTCAAAAACCTTAAGAACAGATTGAAAATTATCTAGAGTCAAGCAGTTTTAATCTCAACAGACATCATCAGTATATGTGAATCAATTGTAAATTAAGTTAAACTTATTAAGCAATACTCTTGTCTCAGAGACTTTAAAGGGCCACAAACCCCCCTTGTCTCAGCAGGGTGTTTTCACGCCTCTAGTTTGGAAAAAGTCAGGGAAATGGGTGTGTCCAGCTCTGTTTAGGTGGGAGTGTCGGGGGACGGAAAGAGGAAAGATTTTGCATAAAAATGAGAGTTGGGAACGCTCTGATTTTCAGAGGCAAAGCAAACACACAGACGCAGAGGAGAAAGACAGTTACTGTTTTACATGGACATCAGTAATCAAATTATTTCCCAAAATATACATTTTTTTACTTTAACTGCAGTTTGGCACTTTCACTTTAATTCAGGAACCTTTCCTGCACGCCCCTCATGACTAACGAGATATTAGATGCGAGGATGAACTGCTGGAGAGAGTTTTAATGGAATGTTTGATACTGCATGGCGAATGGGAAAAAAAAAAAACAGTAACTTAGATTCACTCGGTAGGTAGCGTCAGAAAGGCGTGTGTGTGTGAGTGTGTGTGTAGACTATACTGTCACAAAATAAGGCGAAAATCCACACAACGGTAATAGTTTAAGGTGTTTACATGTTTACATTCGGAGAGCTGCATTTACAGTAGATCTTTCAGTCTATAATATTGTACTGTAATATTGCAGTGATATGAACATACTGTAAACTAACTAAATCATTTTGACTAAGGCATTTATTTAAAAACTGAAAGAGTACTGCTGACGATACGAACTAACTGTGCCATCTGAATGAACAAACAAAGGGCACTGATCACACACACTTACTTGATCTAGAGACGGGACAATCAACACAAACCGTGTCTTTTTAAAAAAGAGACGAGCAGCAAATCCAGATTTCACCTTTTCCAGATGCGAAAAGCTATTGGGTAAAAATGTTTCTTACAAACATATTTCTGTCGCGTGTCTACTCCTACTGTGACTAATATCTTTTTATAATTATCTTGTTGTGTCAGAGAGTTAGGTGAATAAGTGTTTTCCAAAATCTTCAATTGTTTTCCAAAATAAAAGTTTGGTAACACTTTATATGAATCCCATACTCATAATGAATTATAACTTTGTTTACAACTATTTAGCATCAAGCATGTCTTATAAATAGAATTGTTATGCTTGATTTATAAATAAATGTATATGGAGCTAATTTATTATGGGCATGGACCTTTATAGAAAGCGTTGCCATTTGTTCTTATGGTTATGGGCTAATTTATTATGGGCATGGACCTTTATAGAAAGCGTTGCCATTTGTTCTTATGGTTTTTAAATAATATATAATTGCTCTAAATAAAAGTGACGACTCTGCTTTTGCATCTAGTGTGAAACGAGCCTTACTGACGTGGTGGCATGCATACTGAGTTTCAAAATGGTTGTTTTGTTTTTGATTCAATTTGTTTTGTAACACACCTTGTCTCCCACCTTTTGGCCCTGAGACCCCCCTCCTCCTCCTCCCCATCTCCGCCTCTGCTCCTGCTCTGCATGATGGGTGCAGCCACTGAGAACAGTATCCCATCAGTTTTGTGCATGCAGGTTTCATCATCTCCATTGTTTGCCCCGTCTGTACTACCAGTAGTTTTCTGCACCTTTTCATCTTTTAAGAAAACTCTGGCAGCACAGACGGTGCTGGCTAATGGGGTCCTCTCTTTCATTTCTTGCTTTCTTTCATTTTCTTTCTTTTTTTATTTCCTGGCTTTAGTCTTTCCTAATAATTGTAGTGTAAAATGTAGATCTTCATCTTGTCATTTACTCATTATTGTCATTCGGAGCTTGTATGACTTTGTTTGTTCTGTGGAACACACAGTTCATTTTAAAGAATGCCTTTGGCCTCACTAAATGTCTCAATGATTTTTTTTTGCAAGTAAAATTTTGTCAGGATAAAATCCAACAATTCTTTTAATTATGACAGTAGAGTTCAGTATTTATTTGTGTTTTTATTTTTTGTGCCCTCACACAAGGCAAAGTTGCCCCCCAAAACACTTGGTCCTCAGTAATACGCAGAATTCCAGCATATGTTAAGCCTAATTATTAGCACACTCACAAGCAAGAAATGATAAAACCCATGATAAAAGGACTGCAATTAAGAACCCTTTTGATCTACTAGCTAATTTGAAAGTGAAGTCATGGCTACGCATGTTACTATAGCAAAAGTTAAAAAAAACCACTGAAATTAGTAATTCAGTGGAATGTCTTTGCGATGCACATAGTTGTCCAACACATGTCCATGTGTTTTTGATGTTCTTTGTTGATGAACCCAGCTAAAAGGTGCCAAAGAGTGCATTGAATACATGTTAAACATGTTCTTTGATATCTACATAGGAGGTACTGTATGTGTCTTATTTTAAAAAGTACAGCTGCACAATATTGGAAATAAAAACTGACATTGTGATATTTTGTTTTTCTGTGATGATGAATTCCGATATCAATATAATTTCTTAAGATGACTTAAGTAATTGTTTGTCAATAATTTAAAGTTTTACATTGATTGGGATGATCTGCATAAAATATTCCAAATTAGTACACACATCAGAGTAAAAATCACATCAGAGTAAAAAATCCAAATTATGACACACATCAGAGTAAAAATCACATCAGAGTAAAAATCACATCAGAGTAAAAATCTTTCACACTATTAGATTATGGTTAAACTTCATAATGACTCCGCAAATCTTGTCTTTAGAATTGTGGTTCCTGGGTAATTATAATCATAATTATAATAAAAAGTTCAGTTTTACTATATTTTGAATGATTGTGAATATTAATAACCTTTTCCCTGACTCTCTGCAGCTCATGTAATACTTGCTCACACAATCTTTTCAACTGCTGAGAGCTTTATTTTAGCTAGGAGTGAGTGAGCTATCTTTATGTCACCAGGTTGTGTCTTAGATGAAATATAAATATGAAATTATAATTATGCTCAAAAGAAACAGACAGATATATATTCAAAGTTCTGTTTTGAAGCTTTAAATACATATGAAATCACAGGCTGGAATTAATATCAACCTCTGCATGAACAAGCAAGTTTTGTAAAGTTTATTATCGTAGTAAGAGCTGAGTGATATGACATGATGCATAAATGTATGTTAAACGCAAACTCAGCGGATCATAATTGTCTGTTGCCTTATTACAAACATGTGGCAAAATTCACAATATGCACCTTAAACAAAACAACAACAAAAAAGATACATTTATACAGACCCTTAACAGGCACTGAATACATTTTTTAATTCACATATCCCACATTTTGCATTCTGATGATGAGCTGTGTACACTCCTTAGTCATGCATGGCTGCCTGTATTACAAAACTGCTCCTTTTTAGTCTGTCTGCTTCTTTTATTTTCAAATAAAAGTCCCACAAACAGTATGTTTAATACAAGCTTATATAAATTTAAAGTAAGTACAAAGTGTAGTTGTAATGGAGTTTGAGGCTGATAGTATGTAATTTCAGCGTACTGCTCTTATTCAGCTCTGCCTAGAAATCTCTGCATGTTTTATTTTACGGCTCCTTTAATGCTGAGCTGTTGGAGTGGCTAGGAAACTAAATGTGTTCTTCTAACCAGGGGTGTGTGGTTTAGTTGCACAGTTCTCCTTATACTTTTGTGGAATAAAAGGTAGAAAACTTTATATATGGGGTGATCCTTTCAAGTATACTTTTTGTATCGTTTGTAAACGTTATACGATTTTTTTACAGATATAATTATGTTACACATCTAGGCATGGGCCAATATAAGATTCTGATGGTATGATAACCTTGAATATAAAGATTGCGGTTTCACAGGATCACAGTATTAAGATTACTGCTCTAAAATATTTTACATGTCTGGGGAAAAAATAAAACCCTTTTCCCCTTTTTACACAATATACTTTAACTTGGGAAACATTTAAAGTATTTTGGAGCAATAAACATGTCAGACTAAATCATTTAAATGAGTTGTAGGCTTCTGATGTCTTCATTTGTTTCAAAAACACTTATTTTTTTAAAACCACAATTTAAAACAGCATCTTTGAAAATCTTTTCTGCTGGAGTTACTGCTGTCCTAAAAAAAAAAAAAAAAAAAAAATAGTCAATAAAAAATCTTACACACCTTATGAATGATTGAGCAGAAAATTTTGACTGTTTTAAAACCTTGACTTTTCTAAACCGCAGTATACCTTGAACATGGTTATCGCCCCATGCCTATAAACATCATTGGTCACAATGAGCAGATGTTTGGAACACAAACAAGATATGACAAATCTTTGTTGGAAAGGAATTAATTTTATTTACTCGTCACATTGAAATATAATTTATACATTTTTGGAGCTTGGCATGCCTAGATCACTGTCTGTGAGTTATTAATTTTCTCTTTTTTTTATACTTTCTATTATATAAGACATTTTAAAACTGGGTCAATCCTGCTGGTTGAAGTGACAGCAAAAATCACAGTAATTTCAACTTGGTCAGTCTTGAACAGTATGAGTGGAAAATTTTTTTGTTGTTTTTCTCACCATACCTTACTTTATTTTATGTGGTCTATAAACAGTTTAGTAGTGTTGAATGCCAAGTTTGCATTGCGTGCTTTTCCTGCTGCTCTTCATCCCACTCGCTGCTCTGCACTAGCGTTACCTGGCTGTCTCTCCTCCACCATGATTTTGTACTTTGCCCTCCATCCCTAAACATATTTGATCCATTACCTATATCTTGTGGCACAAAACTGATTGAGGATGACTGGTTGTTTCCTGGCTGCTCCGATCCAGCATTAGCCAATCGGCAACAGGAAGTGGAGGAGGAGTTGGCCCAGGTTCATGGACTCTGCCCACAGAAAAGCAGGAAGCCCAAATATTTCACTCCACGCAGCCTGCAGGTATGAATTAAAGATGCTGTATATTACACAAAGACAAGTGACTAATTAAAGTAATAAGACTACTCTGTGCCAAAAGATCAGCTTTAAAGCCCTCTAGTTTTGATTCCCACTTAAAAAAAATTGTTTTCATTAGTGTTTCATTAATACATTAGTATTTTGATTTATAGTGGCAGAGTGCGGTCATGCTAGTCCAAAATCTTCCTTAGGGGTTGAATTGCATTGAAGTTTGGTGACTGTATGCAAATTTTCATATTTGTTTCATGTGGGAAGATTCCACTTTTATCAGGATAGAAAAGTGCTCTCAGAATTGGTGTTTTTGAATTTTACTTTAATTTGTCACCCGTCTCTGTGCTGTCTTTTTGTTATTAAAATCTGCACCACATTAAAACGATCAAGAATAGTTCAGCCAAAAATGAAATTGTAAATCATTTACTTCAACTTCTTTTTTTTTTTCACTTTGACCAATAAATGAACAGTAGATGCTATTAATGTTTTTTTTATTCCAGCTAACTTAATAGCAATAAGACTTTACAAAAATTTAAGCAAATACTGTGACAATTCCTTTGGAATGTTTGTTTTCACTTTGTAAATATTTGAAAAAGAATACAAATTTTACAGGAGAGCAAATAATCTTTGCTTCAATTGTATATAAGTATTGATAAGTGTTAGTAAACAAAATCTCATTCATACATGATTGACATAAGAACAGACATTATTTCTAAATTGATAATATCTCTTCAGAAGACTCTCTTTATGATTATTTTGAAATATTGCTGTTTGTATGAATATCCAATGAAAAGGGTAAAAAAAAAATCATTTGATTACAACTACCTTATTTGTTTTGTGTTCCAATGATGAACAAATATCTTATAGGTTTGGAACAACATGATGGCAGAATTCCCATTTTAACTCTTGCATTAAATGTAGCATTAAAATGTGGTGTGTTTGAAGGCGCATTGTATAGGGCTGTCAGTGCAGACCAAGATTTAATTTTTCACTAGAATTGTGAATCACCAGTCTTGAATCAGATATACACACAGATTTAGCAAGGATGTGAGGGTGAGTAAATGACCACACAGTTTTCATTTTTGGTTGAACTGTCCTGTTTAAACAGGTTTTTTTTTTTTTTATAGATGTAGTGTTTGCCACTTACTGTCTTACTGCTACTTATAGATGTACTGTTTGTCACACTTTAATGTTTCAGATCATCAAACAAATGTTAATATTAGTAAAACAAATTTAACTCATTATGCAATTTTGAAATGAATGTTTTATCATTAAAATCCAAAACCACATAACCCTGTGTGAAAAAGTGTGTAGACCTAATAACTGGTTGGGCCATCAGTTGCAACTGCAAATTAAGTAATTTCTATAACTTTCAATGAGCCGGAAACGGGGCTGGGGAGGAATTTTGGCCTCTGATCTTTTTGGAATTGTTGTAATTCAGCCACAGTGGTGAGTGAACCGCCTTTTAAATGTCATATCACAGCATCTCAATTGGATTCAGGTCAGGACTTTTACTAGGCCACAAGTAAGGGGCAAACACTTTTTCACACCAGTACATAACATTGTATATGTTGTGTTTGTTTTTTTTTTTTTTTTATTTTTTTTATTTTTTTTTTTTCAGGAGGAGTTTCATAATACACAAGACCCAATGGGTGACATGGATCATGATGGTCTTATAAATGGAGAGAATATGGGTGGATGGTGGCCACAGCACAGTGCTGCAGATACAGGTATTAAACCCACTCAATTCTGACAGTTGAATGGAAAAGCATGTGTCATTGTTTGAGGCAGGCTTGACAATAACTTTATTTTATGGTTAAATTAGATAGCTATGCCTTAGCTATACAACGTCTATTCCAAAAAAATGTAGCCAAATCTGTGCTTTTCAACCCTTTTGATAAGTCCCATTAATTTATCATATTAGCCAAATTTACTTGTTTTCTTTAAATAATTATTACATTCTTTGCACACACCAATATTTTATTCAAAATGTGGAACAAGCTGTTGTCAAGTCTGTTGTTCTCCATGACTCATTTCAGTGCAAATTGAACAATTCCAGTTATGTTCTCCAGAATACTTCATTTTGACTGACCAGTGTATTTTATTTGAAACGCTTACATACTTTTTTTTTAAATTAATTGTAAGTTCAGAACCATAAAACTTGCAATGAAATCAAAATAGAGAAAGATAATAGAAAAATTATTACATTTCAGAAATTATTAAATTAAATACACTTTTGTTATTCCAAGGAGAAATTTGCAATTTACATTTACAGTATTTTGAATCCATGAACAATAATATGACAATATATAAAATACAAACCAAAACACAACCACACTTATTAAAAAGTCCCTATGGCTTCTCTTGCATCATTAGGGATGGGATGCATTAGTTTTTTTTTTTTTTATTTTTTTTATTTTTTTTTTTTTTAGTTTTTTTGTTCTTTTTTAACTAAAAATCAACTAAATTTGAAATGAATTAAGACGGATAAAACTATTTTTTTTTAAATAATTGTACCAGCACACTGGAATTGGCAAAAATTCATGCTCTGTGTGCAGTGGGTCAGCTAAAATTGTTATGTGCTGCTTACCTAAGAACTGCTTTTTCTTTTTCCCTGTGGACTACATTTATTTTTTTATTATTATTATTATTATTTTTTACCAATAGTGCAAGCTTAGTCTTTTCTTGATTCTTAAAGTTACCAAACCATATTGCCACATTTAATTATGGTCTCTCCACCTAATATAATAAACACAAGAACAATTGTCTGGTCTATGAATCCTTGCTAAATGCTAAACTTTGCAGATAATAGAATCTCTGCTGCGCATTAAAATTGTATCTGAATCCAAAGTGTGTCTTCCAACTCGTTGTATTATCCATGTGATTTAGTAAGTTGCACAAAACAACAACATGAAATAAAGGCATTATACATGTAACCTGTTGGCTCTTATAGGTATATATGTCTTATTTTTAATCTGACTTTATCAAATATTATTTACATCTAAAATAATATTTTGTTGTATTGACATAATATATATTTGTACACTGTGTATTTGTTAAGTATGTATAAATACACTTAAAATACATTTAAAAGTGCATTTAAAATGTTTTAAAGTTTCCTTCTGCATTTATTCCAAAGTTTCAAAACATTTTTAACATTGTAAATAGTTGTTTTCTATTTGAATACAATTTGATTTGAATGTAATAAAATAAAATTCATGTATTCCTGTGATTTCAAAGCTACATTTTTAGCAGTATTACTCCAGTCACTTGACTTGATCTTTCATAAATCACAATATGCTGATTTGCTTCTCAAAAATGTTTTATTTGTTATTTGTGAAATAGTTTTCAGCTTTCTTGGAATTGTAAAAAACACAATTAGGTAACACTTACACTTACAACTTACACTAACCCCAACCCTAACCCCAACCTAACAGTCTACTTGTAATGAGAATTAGTTGACATGTAGAAACAATGAAATTTAAATTCAACAAACGGACCATCAACATAAAGTATGACTGTAGCGAAATTAGCTTAGCTTAGTTTATGAATATTAATGATCAATAAAAACAAGTTATCATTATTTATTAATATTCTGAATTAACGTATAGTTAATTTGACTAAATAAATATAATAATGACTTCACCCGCTCGTCTGAGCAGACTCTGTAATTTATTTATTTAGAAAGGGAATTATAACTACTTGTGCAGTAGGTAAATAGTGTAGCAGTTTAACAAACTGGTTTTTAGCTTGTAGCAAAATCTTTGGTTAAAGTGACATTTTCTGTGAGGCAAAACAAAGACAATCCAACGTGGTTATAGCGTCATTTATTTACTAGTCTAACAAATAAAGAAACGTACAAAACATGACAACAAAAACATAGAAAAGAAAGCGAGGAAATAAACAGTTTAGCTAAAAGAATAGCAAATTTAGCTCAGCTCCACACAACTATTAAGGTTGAGACAACCAAGATTATAAAAACAACTTTTTGATAAGGGGCACAACTTTAATGCACAATTTAATACCTTTTGGTCTCTTTCTCTCGTTGTGCGAGTTTCTCTGATGCATGGAAGATGGAGTCTTTTAAGAAGTCCTTTCTGATGCATGGAGTTTGCGACGTAGATCAGAGGATAGACGAGACACAAACTTTAAACTGAGTTGAATTTGCCGGAAAATAAGAAATGTGAACTTAGGCGAGTCATGTGGATAAAGAAACGCGGTCTGCCAGATGTGCTCACTGAGTAAAAACCTAACAGATCACTCTTATCTTTAGGATCAAATAAACTAGAAATTCCAAGAGTTCAGTCAAGGCAGGTTAAATTAGCTTTCAGCTACTACACCCTTCGCTGCTGGAATCAGCTTCCAGAAATTATCAAATGTGCTCCAACATTAGGCACATTCAAATCCAGACTGAAAACACATCTGTTTAGCTGTGCCTTTACTAAATGAGCACTGTACTATGTCCGACAGATTGCACTATTATGTTTTTCTCTTCTCTTTCATTTTTTTTATAACACATTTGATCTTTTTTTATGTTTTTTTTTTATTATTTTTATAATTTGTTTTTTTCTTATTGCTTCTTTAATTTTTTTGTTTATGTAAAGCACTTTGAATTGCTACTGTGTATGAAATGTGCTATATAAATAAACTTGCCTTGCCTATTATTATTATTGTTATATTTATAATAATCATACTGCCTTTGCAGATAATGATAATATTTACATTAAAAATAACAATAATAAGTAATACTAACAGTAATTGTTTCTTGAACAGCAAATCGGAAGAGTCATGTGTCTAGAGTAAATATGCTGAAAACTTTGATTTTGGAACCACTGAAATAAATTACATTTTAAAATGTTTTCAAATAGAAACAGTTATTTTAAATATTACAAATATAAATATATATTTCAGCAAATATTTTTGCTCAAATAAAACCTATCTTTTTACTATACTTTGGATCAAATAATTGCAATCTTGTTGAACAGAAGAGAATTAAAAATGTGTGTGTGTGTGTGTGTGTGTGTGTGTGTGTGTGTAATGCATAAAACAGTACACACTTAAATGTTTTGTAAATGCAAACTTATTTTTGGACTTGCATGTTATTTACTTATCGATATTTTTGGGTTTTGATTATTCTTTAGACAGCTATATAAACAACGCAAGTTTAGTAAAAGTCAGTGGACTGGGAGACTTAGATGCTTTAAATAAAATCTGTGTCATACAACTGAAAAAACAAATATGAGTAGATTTGAGTGGTTTTACTGTTAAACCATTTCATTCAGCAAACCTTCATACCTCAGTAGTGTTTGCGTACAGAAGGCAGAGAACAGCAGTTATAAGAAGAGCATATAGTAAATAATATGTGCTATTTTTTCTCACCGGTTTAGATGGCTTGAGGTCAGTTGTCGAAGAGCTCGAACTAGAGAGAAATCAACTGCAGGAGCAAATCTTGGTTCTTGAGAAACAGTGCCAAGACCTAGAGGACCGTCTACAGCTTCAAGCTCGCATTGAATTGCTACAGGTACATAAAATGGTTTGCAGTGTACATACTGTGTAGTATTATGCAACTATCATCATCAGCCTCAGCGATTACACTACTCACCAACTGACCTTTTGCTGAGCCCACTCTGCTGATTAATGAGAAATCAATATATTGAATTACCTCTTCCATCATCAAATAAAGTGGAAATGAATCAAGTCTAGTCACTTTTCAGCTAACTTCCTTTAGTCCGTACAATAGCGATTTGTTGAGCTGATTTTCTTACTAACAGGCAAAGCAAGAGGTATGATTCTTCAGTGGTCCAGAATATACTTTATTTTAAATGATGGCAAATAGAGTCGTTATCTACAGCATTTATAATATCATGTTACCGTGTGCGAGAAGGAACATTTGAATTCAGCAGAATAACACTTAATACAACTAGTTTGCTTTTGTATATTTTTATGAGTTTTATCAATCTTTTGTTGTTGGTGGTGTTTAACAGCTGGGGTCTGTTCTTTATACGTGGATTACTCAGTTTGCTGGATTTGGTTATTGACCCTGTTTGTTCTTCAAAACTCAACCGAGAGTCGTTGTCATAGCAACAGTTCTGGTAGCTTAAACCTGCTTGGGAGCAGGCTCCTTATATAAACAGGATTAGATCTGGTCAGTTCAAGCAAAGATAATACTGAAAGTGTACCAAATTCTGATATTTTCTTGCAGTAGTAGGTATATACACTTGAGAAAATAGTAAATGTATTTTTTAACTATATATATATATATATATATATATATATATATATATATATATATATATATAAATAGATATTAATAAAACTTATGCAATCTGCACACCGAAATAAAAGTAAGTCTACCACCTGGTGGTTCAAAGAGAAAATGTATTGATAAGAGCTTTTTAGATGCAAACGTGTACAATTGTTTTAGTACTTGTGCATGGTAATAGACATGCACAATATGCGACTTTAAAAAAAAAAAAAAAAAAAAAAAAAAAAAAAAAATATATATATATATATATATATATATATATATATATATATATATATATATATATATATATATATATATATATGGCTGATTCCAGCGTTATGGACGTGACATTTGCAGAAAAAAAAAGAAACGTATATACTCGGAGAATGTATATGTTAACAGTATATTGAAATATCTGTTTATATTTTTATTACCCCTTAACCATGGAGTTTAGGCATCAAAAAAATATCAGTCTATGCAGGTGTTTTTTATTTAAAATGACGGCAAAATGAATGCGTTACGGACGTGACAAAAAAAAAGACATGAGTTTTGTGAGTTGACATACTTGGTTAAAATTCTGTGAATAAAAATGCAGAAGCCAAAAATATATATAACAGTCAAAAGGATAAGGGTTGGCTCTGCATGGGACATTTATAATTCATTTTATTTAGTTTTTCATTTTTGCATTAATGAGGGAAAACTATTGTTACGGACGTGACTTGTCTTCGTTACGGACGTGACTGCTCTGAAATTGACAGTTGACACATTATGAAAATCAGATAAATGCTTTCAAAACTTGACAAAAGAGCTATTTGTGGATATCTGTTGGGTGTGTAAACCAATAAACTTTAACCTCTGAGACATCTGAATGGTAAGGTTGCACAATTAATCAAACTTAAATATCACCTTGTTATATTTAATTCGTGGCATGTGTGTTGTTAAAGGTTAAGGCACGTTCGAATGTTCAAAACTCAATTCGGAAACAGTGGTGCATGCTAACATGGTGCTTTTATTCCCTGAATAATATAGAATTGATAATAAACATAATCAGCTATAATAGGCCTATGTTTATTGGGCTCCTTTCCAGACAAACTTGAATTGAATCATTGCCCGACTGTTAGTGCGCAAGACCGTGTCTACGTGGAGAATATTCAAAATCTAGTTGTGTCACAGTTATGGCAATATTATATTTGACAAAGTTTATTTTAGTGTATTCTAGTTAATGTGTTAGTCGATTGAATAAAGTTTAATTTGTCCACTCGCGCTTGCTTTCTTTTTCTCGTCGGCAGTCACTTCAGGACAGGTTGAAAAAATTTAAACAGAGGACCAGGATGAGAGAGAAAACTTTATTATGAAAGGTTTTGTAAAAAATAGCCATTAATTGCAGGCATGTACGATGGATGACTATAATGTTTATATTTTTAGGCTATAGTTTATAACCGATTGTGTAAAATATTAAATGACATTACAGCTGCAGGTGCTATCGATTTACTAACAAATTAAATACTCCTATAATGTAGTTAAAGCTTAGATCAATATCAAGATTTTATTCTTATTTTGCCGCCTGTAAAATAATTTTAATAAGCACTCAAGCACATTTGCCGGGTGCTGGAAATCTTTGAAAATGTTTTCATTTTAATGTAGGCTATAGCCCATTTTCAAGCTTCGAAAGTGCTTTGATTTTGGATAAAGTGCTTGGAAAATTAATTGTGTCGCTATGATAATTTATCTTTATAAATAGTTATTTAATTAATAAAATAAAAAACATATTTATGCTTTGCATGAAATGAAAACTCCACTGTGGCCTGTGCAAGTGCCTGCAGCCTGACCCACGGCGTGCGCATTTTGAGCAATGGGAAAAGACCAAATGCATGGAGGTTATTGATTTTGCGCCCTGCATGCGCGCCTCGCGTTTTGCCATTGCCCGCTTTGTGAGCTCCAGAGGAAAAGCATGTTACCTCAGTGGCGTCTTTCATTCTTCAATCAAATGAAAGCAGAGGCGGGGTTTCCTTTGAGGTGACAAAGTGTGTTGTCAAGATACGGCGAACTTTTTAATAACGGAGAAGAGACTTGTGGTCGCTCTTTTAAGTCATCCAAAGTTGTATGACTTTACAAATCTTGAATTTCATAATATTATTTTAAAAATTAAATTATGACAACATTGACAGCAACACTCGCGCACAATAGACCAGCTGATTCAGTTGTTACCAATAGTGACATACAAAAGAGCACCGTGCTCCTTTTTTTCTTGTCAATATAAAATGCATTGCAGAGCGCCTCACGTCTCTGGAATGAAAAAGCGCGTTCGTTGTGATCGGCCTCTATGAGCAACACATATTTGTTAACTCGCAGAACAGTAACACGTGCAAACACACGTGCTTACAGATGTATTTTGCCAAAGAAGCAAAATGAAAGAAGGATATTCTGGCCACAGTTTGACACAGGAGTTGACGAACCAGCGCTGATGCTGGTCGTCTGTGCTGCCTGGAGCCGCGTCATAAACCCAACTAGGTATATTGATGATTTAGTGCAGACTAACCAACAAACCAACCTTTTTCCATTTGGAAAATAACAGTTATTATTAGTTCTTATATACATTTTTAAATAGCCTACATAGCCTAATCTACAAATCAAACAAAGGCAAATATTTTAGAATAACCTCGCACCAAACTGATGCTTTCATTTTACAGCTTAAAAAACATGTATGCAAATTAATACAGTATCACATGTAAATAACAAAATTGTTATATCCTTAGCCTATATTTAACAAAAAGTATAGGTTCAAAGCATAGACTGTAAAATATATGGACGTAGTATCCGTGACGTCACCCATAGGTTTCTAAAGAGCGCAAAAGAAGCCACAAGTAGGCGCGGCCAACCGTCGCCATTTTGTTCGCGCGTCATCACACCCATGGTGGGATACCAAACAAGGGCAAAGAGGCGGAGAGTGAGCGGAGCTACAGACACCTGCTAGCATTTAGCTTGGACCTGGTTTAGACACACTTTACTTTGGGAGAACGCTTAATACTTTATCACTTGTGACTCGTTTGTATTCTGACCACTTGTGCTTGGTTGTATACTATATCAATAAAGTGTTTAGACTTTTAAAAACACTGCTGTAATACATTGAGCCACCAAACATTGTTCTTATGACATTTTTCAACAGGAGGAAAACGCGAATTACTTCCAAACACTTCAGATATAGTCTGTGTTAGTTAATGCAAGACTATTGATGAAATCCAGCATAACACTGTATGACAACACTTCAGATGATTGTTTTAGAGCCTACAGCTAATCAATCTGACAGATTCTGCAGTGCATTACAGCTCTAAATATAAATATAAACGATAAATGATCTTAAATAAAACAAATACATGTATAGAGATGGTATATAAGTATGTAACTTTACTCACATGGGAAACGGAGGCCACGTGAATGGTTTGTGAGCACAATTAAGTGCCCTCAGCATGCCATGCCATATAATAATTGTAGGAAACAAGTCCAAAAGGCAGTTGACTGTGTAAAGCCACATAAAACAATACAGAAATACGATAAATATGCCGAGTTCAGTGGCTAACCTGCCGGATTCAGCTGAGGTGACGTGACGGAAGGAAAGGATAAAGGAAACGGATGAGTTATGAAAAAAATTCACCCCCCTCACAGTTGTCATGAAGGGTAATATTAGCTGTATTAACCAAAATCGTTTTTTGTACCAGGCTGTAAACACCTTTTTTTCTGCTGTAAAGTTGGCCATTCTAACAGTGGGCTCAATTGAAATTTGCTGTGTTTTGGAGCCAGGAGCGGCCAGGACTAGCGGAATTTCGGATGAATTGCAGTTTTAGTTACTTCCGTATTGGCTTCCTGAGAGAGAGCGGAGGTTACCGCTTGGTTCAAAGCCTTATGGTTCATTGTCATTATCTTTCACTATACTCAGCGCGCGCGCACACATGAACCGCAAGTAAGACAGAGGAAATAGGCTAATAAGTCATAATTAAGACATAATCTTTGAACTAATGACTTCTATTAAAAATGTTGAAAAAGGTCATATTAAAAAAGGTTTTGTAATATTATAACAGCGGAGAATTAATTGAATGCATTTTTCCCGTAAAGCAATCTATTTGAGCAAGCCTAATATTTTTTAATTGACGGAAGAAAAAAAAAACACGATTGGACAAACAGTCTATGCCGATTCTTAAAAAGCATTCAGTCAATATTTTCGTTTTGTAATCTTAATTTGTCATTTAAGTAAAAAGGTTTAGAGCAGGATTTATTTTATTATTTTTGTTAGTTTATTCAGTTTTTCTGTGCTGCTAAAAACACTGCAGGTGCGTGAAGATGCTCGTTCTGTATGCTGTTCGCATATTAAAATAACCTAAATAAGTATTTTAAAATGCAATATTTAATGTGTCAGACAAAATAGGCACGTCAATTTTTTTTTATTAAATAATATTTTGATATTAATCTGTTAACGGTTAATATCGCTTAACAAGTGGTTGTTGGTTGGCAAAATGAATTTAAATCAGCATTCCTAGTTTGGCATAAATTGTATCTTAACTATTTGATCTATTATTTGACGTTCAGTTACCCTATCTACAAAAGAAACAAGAAGTGCTTCAACACAAGGTGCTGAATCGCCAAAACACCAAGATTATGCGCCAAGATTATGGCATGTAAAACGTTGTTCTCTTTATTAAACATTTATTTTTGAAATGATACTAAAATGGTTTATAGCTAACTGAAATGTTCAGTTCTTGATATAACATATGGATGTTATGTAATGTAAGTCAGTAATTGTAATGCAGCATCATAATGAACAAATATGCGCTAGTCATTGGCTTATATTAATAAGGAGTTCATAAATGGTCACGTCCGTAACGCAAAATTGTGGTTGTTTAAAGCAAAGACCTGAGATGAGTTGGCGATCATAATTAGTATGGACATATTTTGGCTTTGTATACAAAGTTTCATTTTATTTGTTATAATATTTATTCCACAATATAAACTTTTTCATTAAATCGTTACGGACGTGACATGTGACCGAAGCTGCGTGATGTCTTAAATATGTAGCTCATAAATCAAAAGGGCAGTAATGTTATGAAAATGTAAGGGTAATTATTTATACTACAGACTCCAATCCTTCTGCAGAATGATTACTGTTAACATAAAGCATGGAAAAGGTGAGTCTTTAATCCCTTATTCTAAAGCACGAAATGTGGTTGGATTATAATGAAATTTACCATTGGCACAATCCTCATATTTCATGGATAAACAAACCAATTTCCTTAAAAATGCAACAAGAGCACATCATTACAATAAAATATAGACCTTAATGAGCAAATTTAAATAGGTTTTGTTATTTTGGTCAAAAGTTTATTTTTTCATGATAAGGTTGACATTTTCATGGAATTGCTCATATATATATGCAGTCATGAACATGTTTTGACAGTTAATATGACGGTGATTTAATGCTTCACAAAAGTTGCAGACGCCTTTAACAATATCAAAATGCTTTTGTGATGCAAAATTCATTTAAACATCCAGTTATTCTTTACACTGATTAAGAACCTGGTTACTATAATACAACTATGGCTACTATAATAAAGAGCATCCACTCTAACTTTAAAACTGAAAAAATTGCTTAATACTCGACACATAAAAGTGTAAAGCCTGCAGCCCACAACAAAGGTGGAAAGTTATTGCGTATCATATTTAACAAACCGTTTACTACAAATTTAATCTAATTTTGCTCACATAGAGAATTGAATATTAATCAATGATGTCATCACGCTGCTGTGCCATCAGCCAATCATTGAATTGCTGATCATGATTTCGAGAATCGATAGATCTGTCCTTCACAACACACGCAGCGATCTCAGATCAATTCATTCAGACATTTTAATCCCATTCATGAACTTGTTTGAAGAACCAAATTAGCCAGAGATCAGTTATCAAGATTAAAAGATCCAGGATCTGTCAAATCATCTTAGATCGTTTAAGCGAGGTACGATGAACGGACCCCAGTTGTTATGGTTTTTTTCAGCTCCATTTTGTTCATTTCACACTCAACTTGCAGACACTTAATTTAAATGGAGTTACTAAACTGTAACTAAGCCAAACATGTCAGGATGATATAAATTTGAAGAGCTTTGGCTTTAAAATAAGCACTTCACAAATTGGGTGTTAAGTGGATAACTGAAAAGCTAAATATAATTCTTTTAAAACTACTATTGAGCTATCAATCATGTGAGTTGGTCCCCCTCTCAGCCACTACTTTTTTCAAAATCCTGATGTACATTTTCTGTTGTTGTTCTGAAAATGGCTATTAGTGTTATGCAAAATTATATTCAAGCTAAATATTGTTTTTATTTTAACATTTTAATGTTATTTTTTTAATACATATAAGCACAACATAAGCCTGTCTTTATGATCATTAGATGTCATTGAAATATTAGTCAGTGAATTAGATTATTGGTTTAAACCCTGCATATTATTATAACACATTTTTTGCACATTAGAAAGTTTAAACCATGAGTAAATAAAGACGTAAGGTAGAATCATCTTTTACATACAGTAAATTTGGAATTGTTATGGGATGGTGTTGCAACTTCCAGTCTGTTAGAGTTGCTTGAGGCTCTTGAAATAAAACCTCTGAATATTAGAGTTGCATTTCTGCCTCAAGTGAAGGGTGCATTAAATGTTTAATTATTCAACAGCACATCCTCAGTTATTCCTTAAAGAGATATGGAATGGAAACCGTGTCATCCTTTACTCACCCTTCACTTCTTTTTTCTTAAGAAGGTATTTTGAATTTCCATATTACTTTTCCCTACTATGGATGAAAATGTGTACTGGTTTCCAAAATTCCTCAAAATATATTTCTTGTGTACCATTTTTTTTGGGTGAACTACTCTTTTAATTATAGCACAGTACTCTTAAATGTTTATTTCTAATTATCCTACAGGCAAATCTGAGATGTTCATTATTTTCATGAACTATACAAGTAAATTAGCTGTAAGTGCCTCAAGAAACTGTATTTACCAGATTTTTGTTTTTAACTTAACAGTTCAAAAAAATAAAGATTAACAGTAGAAAATCATACTAGTTCACTGACTTTACTCATTTGCTGATGAGGTAAGATGCTGGGGCTTATCGAAAGGTCAGTTGTAGCTGTTAATCCTTTTAAAAAATGCATTTTCTTTGATTTGAAAGATTCAGGACAAAATAAGTGCTCATAGAAAGGACTGATGTTGAATTTCAGTGTGAGTGTTGGATAGCCATTGAATTACCTGTAAATTGAATGAATTGTATCCAATACTCCTCTAACGCAGGAAACGTTTGGTATAGATGAAGGTGATGAAGCATTGTCCACATCTCAGGTTTGTGTATGTTTGTGTAAGCTTCCAAAAGCACCTCAGAGTGTGGAACTTTCTCTTTGTACTGGTTTCATCACCGTCCTTTTTTATCAGAGTGCAGTAAACACACAGGGCGTGATTAACAGGTTGAGTTAAACTAGGGCTGCACACATAATTCAGAAATGGAGGATTCTCATTTTCAAGATTAGCAAATCATAAAGTAAAATCAGCATTCTAATTTTGGCTACTTCATACAAATCAGATCATTAACCATTGTGTCAACAATCCACTTTGTGTAAATTTACTACTCTTTCGTTGTGTGAGTGCCTATTTTTGACTTAACTTTCATCATAATGACATTTTTATCACAAAGCCATTATACCTTATAATCATGCATTCTTGATTGTTGATGGTTTTTTCTGTTAGGAAGAGTTACATTTTTTATTTTATTTTATTTTTTTACTGTTGATCATCGGTTGCAGTGTCCTAGTGTTAAAATGGCATTTTAAAAGATGTACAACCAACAGTCTCTGAGGTTTTCACTAAAACTACTAAGCAACCTCCCACGGAAGAAGTGATTGACAGGTGGTAATTTGTGTGCAAATTATCTTTATTTATTTATGATTTATTTATGGGTAAAACAAAGACCATGCGGGTCAGGTTGAAACTGTAGGCTACGCATAATTAATTTGGATTAATTAATTATTCATAAATAGTTGATTCACCTCCGCCTATGATGATGATGCCATCGTCCATCGGGATGTTTCACATTAGACATCGTACGATGCCAAACTGGTCGACATTGCCCAACCCTACTTTTTATGTTCCATATAAAGGACAGAAACTTTTTTTGCATAGGCCTATCTAAAAGGTTAATTCTCCAACTGAAGATCAACAGTAAAAAGAATGCTTGATTATTAGGTGGTATGGCTTTGAAATAAAAATGTCATTATAATGGAAGTAAATAGGGCAAAAACAGCCACCAACATAACAAAAGAATTGTACATTCGAACAGTACACAAGGGTTAAAACGGATCATTTAGAAAACAAGGTGAATAGATTTGTATGCAGATGCAGTTTTACAGCAATATTACATGTTTAAAATCAATTAAAAACATTTGTAGCAGTGTTTTTATATGAAGTAGTAGCGATGATGATGATATTAATGATTTAGATCTTGAAGAATAAAAGCTATTCCACAACAATAAATTCAGAAACCGTTTCAGCCTGCTTTGAATGTGTAGCTAGCTTCATGAAGCATGTGCCCATTCTCTCACCTCATACATAATGAATCAGTTGAGTTTTTATTGCACTTGAAATATTGAAAGGAAATGAGCAATTCTGATTTTTGTCATCATCATGCAGCCCTAGGTTAAGCCCACATTTTTTCGTATCAGCTTGACACTCAGGTGTGCAGTGTGGTGAAGTTTCTTTCCCGTTCTGCTGGAATTGTTGTTATGATCTTTCATCTATTTGTCCATCAGCATGAGTCTGAGCGTCTGCAGGCTCAGGTCGCCAGTCTTCGCAGTCAGCAGATTAAAGATGCAGAAAAACATCAGCTGGTCATCACCAATCTGAACAAACAACTCAAAGGGTAATTATTTGAAATAAGCTCCTGGGGCCTTATTACAGAAACATCCCGACTCTAATTCTGGTACCAAGTGATTCTTATTTGTTCGTTAATGCTGTGTCTATCTGTTTACTCAGACTGAGCAGCACACAGGAGTGTTTGGAGTCCTCGCTCATGGAAAAGGAGCACACGCTTGCCAGAACCTCAGAGAAACTAGAATGTATTGACAGTCTGAGAGAGGCATTAGAGGCAAAGGAAAAACAAAACCAGGACCAAGCAGACAGGCTTCTTCAGTCCGAACACAATGTGGGTAAATGGGAACTGCTAATGTATAGCTGTCCCAGAAAGCATTTTTTGTGTTTACAAGATGTCCACTTTATTTTAAGCTGCAATTCTCGCTGTTGATAAACTATTTGCTATGACTTTTGCCTCAGTAAACTCCCAATTTGCTGCTTATTGATAGTTAATTAAGGTAGTAGTCAGGTTTAGGTATTGGGTAGGATTAGGAATGTGGAATAAGATCATCAGAAGTATATAAATTATACATACAAATTAATCACTATTATTTTAATAATCGGCAGGTAATGAGCCACTAGTTAATAGTGAGAATTGGCACTTTAATTAAAGTGACTGTAAACATTAATTGCTAAAAGGGCTCAATTTGGGCTGTCAGTCAAAATCTTATAGATGTATAGCAATAATCTAAAAATAGACTAGTCATTACATAGGCAGCAATGGGTGACTACACATCTGAAACTTATTTCACATCGATGATGATATTTTCCACTTTCATTCAAAATTTTGTCTTGTTTTGATGTCTGATGAATTAGAATTTCTCTAAATTTGACATTACCTGGCGTTTGATTTGAGTAATGTTCAGTTGGGTTTCATTTTAGAAACTAGTGATAATATGTCTTCGGAATTTCAAATAAGACTGATAATAAATTAAAAGTGGTTTCTCAATTTTTGTTCAGAGCTGTATGGTGGATAGTAGAGCTGCACGATTCTGGCTAAAATGAGAATCGCAATTCTTTTGTTTAAAATAAAGATCACGATTTTCTTACGATTCTGTAGATGTAAAATAAAGGTTAGTATGAGTAGCCTATTATTATTGTTATTTCTCAAACATATGATAAAACCATAATGATACTATTATGTGCAGGTCTACTGTTGGTTAAAGTGCTAAATTTTGAATAGACTTTGAATGGTGGACTTGAATAGATTTTAAATATGTCCTGGTCATTAATGCACAGTAAAGTGATGACATCACAATACAACTATTTATAATTCTGATGTTGAATTATTACAGTATGTTTGAGACACATGCTTGTCATTTGTCATTGATTAAACGTTATTAATTTTTTTTTTCTACTGGTAAAATCAAACATTTGTCAATATCAGATTCTTTCTTGCATTATAGTCAACATTATATAGGCTATAGTAGTTATACTGACACTGGTAAACATTTATTCTCACCCACAACACTAAACATATTAAACGCTTGTCGTAATCATTTCTCTAAAATGCGATATGATTGTTTAAATGATGTGCTTGCTTTCGGTTTTATTTTCATTGCTAAGTGCGGTTCATACTTCCTGCACGGCTCCAAAATGATTACTCTGTGCCACAATCTAAATGTTATTTGCAAATTTATTGCCTGTTATTCACAGCCTATGTAGGTTCTGTTCACTTAAGTAGACTTCATTCACAGGCACGTGCGCCTTCTCTGGGGTAACTGCTCACGGTCAGCACACATCACTTTTGATTTCACGGCCGCGAATAGTCTACATTATTACATGAAGACAGAAATGACATTTTTACCATTTAGAGGTGTCCATGTTGCAACGTGCAACGAATGTAAAACAGTGTGAAGACTTGTGCGATGCTGGATTAAGATCGTCTAGGGGGTTGAATCGAGATTGTGATCTTTTTACGATTAATTGTGCAGATCTAGTATATAGCTGTATCTGTTACTTCTCTTGTCACAGACTTGTATGAAATTCTTAATTTTTTTAAACGCAAAAAAAAGTTATTTGGAAAAACATAGGATGCTGGTAACCATTGACTTCTATATTATTTGTTTTCCCTATTATGGAAGTCAGTGGTTACCCGTTTCTAGGATTCTTCAAAATATCTTCTTTTGTGTTCAATAAATAAAACAGAAAAAGTCAAAAATGTTTGGACCCACTTGGCATCAGTAAATAGTGAGTATGTGTTCTTTTTGGGTGAACTATCTATTTAAAGGCAATTTAAATATGTCATAATTCACTCACCCTTTACTTGTTCACCCTATTTGAGTTATTTTTTCTTTTATTGAAGACAAAAATTAATTATTTCGAAGAAAACAGATTTATGGTACCCAATGACATCCATAGTATTTTTATGTAACTTAATGGCTGCCATTGACCAGCACTTTTCAAAATAGCGTCTTCTTCAACTGAAGAAAGAAACTTCTTTAAATAAAGACCACATGAGGGAGGGCTTATGGTAAGGGCATTTAAAGCATGAAGAGTAAGAATGTAACACATTTAAGACACTATATATTTGTGATTTTTTTTTAAAAAAACTATAAGTAATTGAGGGTATTTTGTTTTGTAGCTGGCTGAAGTTAAAAAGACATGCAGCAATTTTGAGAAGGAAAATTCAGAAATGAAAGCGGCTGTTGCAGAACTAACTCTCAAACTCGGTGTGATGAAAGACAAGGTACAATCTTACAAACATGACCATTTACATCAATATTTTTTGTTTTGATTTTGTTTGATATTTATATTTTGACCTAATACATAATCGTATATATAGATGTTGTCTAAAGTATTATTTTCAATATTCTTTTTTTAGTCACAGAAACAAGATACAGCTATAGAATCATTACAGAGTGATTTGGTTCAAACAAATGATGAACTTGACAGACTGAACACAGTTCATTTGGAAGAAAGAGCACAGCTGGTTCATGACTTGCAGAGCTGTGAGCGCGAAATTGATAGACTTCAAGATGTCATCACTGACAAGGACAAAGAAATACTGGCTCTATCATCCAGCATGGCAGAATATTCTGAGCAGATCCATGAACTAAAACAAGAAATGAAGCTCAAAGAGGATGTGCTGACTAAAGTCGAAGAAAATGTTCAAATCTTTAGAGACCCGCAGCTTTCCGACCAGCAGTTCTTCAATATATTAATACCTAAGCTGATTGAACAGTTGAAGAAAACCGAAAGCGATCTAAAGGTGGCCAAAAAAGAAAGTGAGTCGAGGAGTAATGAAATTAAAGACTTTATAAAGCAAACAGAAGATGACAAGAAAATAATTCAGGATCTTCGCATGGAAATACAAAAGCTGCAAATTAATCTGAAAGAACCGCAGTCAGACGGGGAACAAGTGCATGAAAAAGATTTCCTCAAGGAAGAACGCAACAAGTTGCTTTCTGAAGTCAGCAAACAAAAAAGTGAGCTTCTGAGGTTTTCTAAAACAATCGAGGAGCAGGTTGCCTGTCAAGAACAGCTTAAGCAAGACATCCAAGACAAGTCAGAGGTAATCTTTTCATTGGAGCAGAAGTTAAAGATTGTTCAAGAGGAGCTAGTAGTTGAGAGGGATCGATTTAACTCAGAACTCACGATTCGAGATGAAGCCAAAGAACACCTTGAGAAAAGTTTGTCTTGTGAAATTGATAGTGTTAAATCTGTAAAGAATGACAACCAGAAACTTAAAGAGTCACTTGAGCAGAATTTGGGAGAGCTTGCAAGCCAAAAGCAGCTCCTGGACAGTGCTGCGATCGAAATACAAGCCCTGCAAGATCAGAATTCCAGCTTAATTTTTCAAGTCAAAAGTCTCGAAAGTGACAATTGTCATTTAAGGGTTGAAATTGAGACTAGAGTCCAGTCTCTCTCTGATGTTTCAGAAGAAAAGAAGAGATTGTTAAACAAAATATCTCAAATTGAACTGCAGCTTTCAGAAAGTGTTAAAACAATAAGTGACTTTCAGAGAGATAAGGAAGAGCTATATCTTAGAGAGGCTGACTTGAAGAAAGAACTTGAAAAAAACAAACAGTCTATAACTGAGATTTCATTAGAAAAAGATGGTGTTGTAGAGCTTCATAATGCGTTGATTAAACAAAATCAACAATTGCAAGAAATATTGGACGAGAAACAAAAGGAAGCGCTTGTATTAACCCAGGCCGTATCTGACTTAAATAACAAGATCACGATAACTCTTAAGGAAAATGAAAAACTTGCTTCTCAAATTGTTAGTCTGGATGAACAGAATGGTTCCCTTCAGAGACAAATAAATGAACAGATGAAATCACTTACAGAAACAACAAAGGAGAGAGAGACTTTACAAAACAAAATCCAGTTTTTCGAGACACAGGATGTGGAAAACCATAAAATTATAGAAGGCTTACTTAAGGCCAAAGAAGATTTGCTTTTGCAAGTGGAGGAGCACAAAGTTATTGAACAGAAACTGCAGGCCAATGCTGAGATGTTACAGAAGAAGTCTTCAGAATGCACAGACCTCACACAAGGTCTCAGCGAGACCAAAGAAGAAGTAGATCACCTTAAAAGGAAACTCGAATCCTCCAATTCCGAAGTTGTTAAGTGTAAAAATATTATGCTCGAAAAAGAAAAGATCTTAACAGACCAACGTATGCAAATTGAAGCTTACCAGCAGCAGTTCAAGCATTTACAAGATAACATATCTGTACTTCAAGAACAAGCTTTTAAACATAAATCAGGCCTGACAGAGAAAGACACTCTGCTGCAGAAAGAATCAAACGCATGTGTTTTACTTCAGAAGGAACTTGGTCATGAAAGAGAACTTGTTTTTACCTCTCAACAAGAGATAAGCTCTCTGAAAGTGGAGTGCTCCAGACTGAACCAGGCTTTAGAAGAGAAAGAAAACACTTTAAGAGAGAAAAACCTTGAATGCCAAAACCATTTAGAGGAACTGTGTAAAAGAAATGAGACATTGGTTTCACTTACTAGTCAACTTGGTCTTATGAATGCAAGCATAGCGAAGCTTGAATCTGATAATGCAAACTTAAAGGACACTTTAGAGAGGCATCTATCTGAAAGTGCAAGACTCAAAGAGGAGCTGATGCAGAAACAAATAGAGCTTGTGGAATATCAGGACAGTGGTCAGGCAATGAATGATCAAAACAGTATAATTAAATCAGAACTAAAGAATTCAATGACAGAAATGGTTAGACAAAAAGAGATGATCACTTCACTACAAAATGAGTTGGAGAGCAAAAGAGTCAAACTGGGATCTTTGGAAGAGAAGTTCAAATCGGAGCACTCTCAGCTTGAAGCTTTACAACTTACTCTGCGGGACAAAGAAGATGTTTTCCAGACACAGGAGATGCATGTAAATAACATGCAAGCCAAACTGTTGGAAAGTGAGGGCCAAATCAAACAGAGAATCTTAAAGCTTCAGGAAGAGAATCAAAGTTTACGGACAGCTTTGGAAGACAAAGATAAAGAGTTTTCTTTGGTTAAGACAACATTATTGGCACAATCGGAGGCTTGTGAATCTAGACTGAAATCAGAAATGGTTGCGACTGCTCAATTTCAGAGAGAGATACAAAACTTACAAGAAAAAATGAACCAGCTCATAAGCATCATTACTGAAAAGGATTCCTTATTGATGCAGGAGAAAGAGAAGTATATGTGCTTGCAAAGTAGTGCATCAGAACTGGAAAGCACAGTTTCACAACTGAACTGTCAAATAAAGCAATTAACCTCAGAAATCAAACAACTCAGGGAAACACAAACTAAGAAGGAACAAGTGACATTTGCTGCTCAATCGCAGATGCAGAAACTGGATGAACTCTACAAGAATCTTCAACAGGAATGTGATTTGACTAAACAAGAGCTGCTGAAAGTTTTAAATGAAAAATCATTAAAGGAAGAAGAGGTCCGTAAATTGATCCTGGAAAAGGAAGACATCCTCAGAACTTCCAGTTATCAGATTCAGACAACTCAGGATCAACAACACAACTGGCGATCTACCACCATGAATAAAGTGGAGGAAGTTCAGGCAATGGAGAAAAAGAAACTTCACAAGATGGTAAGTCCTAGATGTGAAACAAATGTTGGATAAAATAAGGACAGTATTAAAATTTTAAATATCTTGTTCTTGACTCGTTGTTTTCAAACTTATTTTTTCTCTAAAGTGAAGAACAAGTAATAACTTAATTTGAAGTATACCAGGTATATGCCTTAATTATACTGTATGCCTTCTAGACAAAATCTTCCCCAAAGACAGGGAAGTTTAATGCATGATTCTAATTTGAGTTGTCTTGCTTGGAGGTCAGAAAATCTGGGATATCTTTAAAGGGCTATTGACAAGAGTTTAGGTTTGATGAGCCTTTACATTATGTCTGCCTTGTTAATAACCTGTAGGACCGTTTTTAACTTCCAGAACAGTAGCCACTCAGTTAACCATTAATTCGATTAGGAGACAAGGTGCTTTTAATGACACCTTTATTTCAGTTTTTCGAAAACAAATAATTGACATTTGTCTGCGTATCTGCAGGAGTTTATGGCTTTGCAGGGTAAAGAAGCATCTTCAGATCAATGGGTCCAGTTGAATGGCCATCTGCAGCAATGCCAGCTAGAGATTCAGCAAAGAGAATGTGGCCTCCAACAGCTCAACATCAAGGTATACATCCTAATATGTCACTTGGAAATTAATGTAGTCTTATATTTACTGGATTGAGTTTGTTATGTGTATTGAATATGTTTGTGCATGTATTATATTTGCACTAGTTGCAGCAGACAATTGAAGAAAAAGAAGGGGTTTCCAGGATGCTCAAAGACACACAACAGAGTGTTAGTGAGCTCCAGAATCGCTGCTATTGGCTGGAGAGACAAGTTCAAAACCAGTTGTCACCCACACAGGTGACTATATGGGTATTTATTTGAATATAGATCTGAAATACTCTAGCATAACTACTATGATCATTTTATTTTCCATTAAACATTATTTTTAAATCAAAGACAAGCTAAGGAAATTACACTTACTTTAAGGGTAAAACCTCTACATTTACAACATTTTAATTCCACATATTTGGATTTGGGTCAAATGAGAGAGTCACTTGAATATTTGTATTACAGCACACTTTTGATTCCAGTTTTGCATTTAAAAGTTAAGCTAAGGTTTTATAAGTTTTGTTTGTAATAAATGGTGTTTTTTTATACTTATATTTAATTTTTATTTCTTCTTCTGCTCTTAGTTGCATGTTTTTTGTAGTGTGAGAGAAACTAAATTACACGTTTTGAATGTTTGTAAGTGTTTTGTTTCATTTAGAGATCTTCTTTTAATATAAATAATTTGACTAAAAAATGACACCAATGCAATGTGTACTTAAAGGAATACTTCACCCAATAGTGGAACTTGTCTGTTAATTTACTCATCCTTAGGCTATTCATGATGAAAGTTCCTTTTATCTTTAGTTGAACATCAACAAATATTTTTTTAGCTACAACCATGGGCTCTTGTAATTTATTTTTAGTTTTGACTCAATGTAATCTTTAGAGGTCCCAGTGTACAGCAAACATGAAATCGAAGACAAACTCAAATGAAGTAATTTCGAACAAAGTTTGGCCAAAAAAATGTTAGCCTTCGGTGAGCATTTTGAACTGCTGAAATAACCTCAAAGCTAACTTTTGGGCGAGTTTGTTTTACTTACTAAACACTTTTGAGCTTCCGTTGGCAGTCTCAATCACACTATCAGTGGGTGTGTTCTGGAACTCTGATTAATTCCTATCTCATATTCAAGGAGGTCAAGCAGGAGAACAACATCCAACACAATAATACTAAGTTGGCAAAATGATTACACTGGAGGGTCGAGTAGCAAAGCTGGTACAGATCTATCCATACTTGTGCCATTGATCATGGAGAGACTTTAAGGACTCAGAAGGGGTCACACCAGATGAGAACCACCACCAATTTATATCACATCTTATAAAGTTCTAAAAATTGTTCCATTTGGGGTCACTCTACAGCAAATAGAAAGCAATATAAAGAGGTGACATGATGCGGTGGTGCTACTCATGTCACATTTTTATGAAACTGTTTATGTGTGTTTAGGTGTATATGCAAGTAGCGTGACATATTTACAACCCCACCTGCTGCAGCACTGGGGTATCGGTAGGTTTAAACACCGGAATACCAACACCGGCTTTTCAAACATATTTTTGCCTTTAATGGAAAAATGAAAAATAATTTAGTTTGTACTGGGGACTGTAGTCAGGTGGTATTTATTTGGAAAATTTGCTTAAACTATTGGTGCTTGGCCTCTAAAGCGGAACAGGTACAAAAGGACCTTAAAATAAAATGAGAATTAAATCTGTAAGAGGTTTAAGTCTGCTTGTTTCTCAGCAGGGTTCAGTCTACGGAGAAGTTCCACCAGGAGCTCCTCAGGAACCAATCAGTTCCACTGTCAACCAAGTTGGATCAGACAGCAGAGATCTCAGGATGAGGTTTGTCTAAGAAATTCACTAATAACTGCATACAATATTCATATCTGTAAGCACATTTTACCTTCTTTTGCAAGGTTTGTCGAAAGTTCAGGTGAATAATGATATGTTCATGAAAATGTTTATATGCAGTTTTATACGGTTAATGATTGAGACTCAGTGTTTTTAAATTTTCATTCATTAGATTTCTTTTCTGCTTAGTCCCTTTATTAATCTGGGGTCACCACAGCAGAATGAACTGCTAACTTATCTAGCATATTCTTTACGCAGTGGATGCCCTTCCAGCTGGGACCCATCTCTGGGAAACATCCATACACACTCATTCACGCACATTCTCTACAGACAATTTAGCTTACCTAATTCACCTGTAGCGCATGTCTTTGGACTTGTGGGGTAACTGAAGCACTCGGAGGAAACCTATGCAAACACGTGGAGAACATGCAAACTCCAAAGCCAACTGACCCAGCTGAGGCTTGAACCAGCGACCTTCTTGCTGTGAGGCAAACGTGCTACCCACTGCGCCACCGTGCAGCTGTTTTTAGATTTTAGATGTGTGAAATTCTCATTGTTTGTCTTTTTTTTCTTCTGAATGTTTCGTCCAGGCTTTCTGAGGCAGAGATTCACCTGTCACAGTTAAACTCTAGATTAGAGGAGGAAAGATCAAGAAGAGAGGTCGCAGAAGAAGCTTTGCGGTTGACAGAACAGAGAGTTGTAAGGTAATAAAAGCTCTTTAATGAATATTTCAAATTGTGATAACACCGTATACTTTATTAAAATAGCTAATGTCATTATAGTCTACTTATGATTAGTTTCACACTACAGGTTTGAGATGAATTAAACTTTAAACACCAAAACTGAAAATTCTGTCATCATTTTAACTTCAAGAAACCTCTTTTTTCGGAATAGGCTCATTTTACAAGTCACCTAGATTTAAAAGGTCCACTTTTACCATTTTTGAATACACTCAGAATATGGCGGGAGCATTTTAGCTTAGCGTAAATCATAGAATCAAAAATAAAATGTTGCTATTTTCTAGGTTGGTGTGGCTAGGAACTATACTATCATTTTGGTGTAATGATCAAGGAGATTTGCTGCAGTGCCATGGCCAGTGATATTACGCAGAGCTTGAAAATAGTCCCCAGCTAGGTAACAGCCCTGCATAATATCATTGCGAATGGAAGATGCTAATATATGAGAAGCTTATGGTCTAATCCAGAAAAATCATATATGCTAAGCTAAACTAGTGCTCTCATCAGACACAGAGATTGGCTGAATGGATTAAAAAATGGTAAAACTGAACCGTTAAACTCAAGGGAAATTGTAAAATGTGCAGATTCTTTCCTATTTTAAACACGAAGGAAGATATTTTGCAGAAAACCTGTAACCATTGACTTCCATAGTACTTAAATTATTCAAACTGTCTTTATTGTATGCATGTTACAGTCAGTCCTTGAGTTAGACCACCTGAATAGGGTGACACCGTGGGTGATGTCTGTCTCTATTTGTAGTACACAAGTTATGGTTTAGCTGTGACAAACACTGCCAGTCTGAATGTGTGTGCAGCTTCTGCTCTGCATATTCACACTTTCTGCACTTCTGCTTCTCTGCTAGCACATCCAGAGTGAAATAGGCGTAAAGCCACGGTCACTAGCGTTTGAGCAAAAAGGGGCAGAATAAAACAAGATAATTTAACTCTGATAAAACAAACAATTGCTCCATATTTAAAATTTCTACATAGACGGTTCATTCTTTTTTTTTTTTTTATTGGTCTCACGTATTCACTTGATGCAATATCGCAGGTCAGAGGTTATTAAACCTGAACTTTCGAAAGCAGTAACATGTGAAACATTTCCAGTCTGCTGCATTCTCATACATTTAAATGCAAATAAATGGAGTGAAAAGTGCAGTCCGAGTGCAGCTTAAATTTGACATTTCCAGATACAAAAGTAAGTTAAAAAGAAGAAAAAACAATGCTAATAAATACCCTGGTTGTGCTGTAAAACTATCAAATGTCTTCTCCAAAAATCTCTCATTCCCAAAATGATACTAGTCTTTATATCTAAACTGAAATCTCCGATGATCAGACAACTATTTATCTTATGAAAGAAATGGAGAGTGTAGTGCAGGGGAGCTCAACCCTGTTCCAGGAGGTCTGCCTTCCTACAGAGTTCAGCTCCAACCCTGATAAAACACACCTGAGTCTATTAATTAGGTCCTCAACAGCACTTGATAATTAAAGACAGGTGTGTTTGCTAGGGGTTGTAGCTGAAATATGCAGGAAGGTAGATCTCCAAGAACTAGGTTGACCACCCCTGGTGTAGTGCATCCTAGTGAGCTCAACTTAAATGTGTAAAATGAACAAATAGTTCTCCTATATGGCAGTTGAGATGGTATTTCCAACTAAAACTAGTGGTATGCCTACAAACTTTAATTTCATTGCTCCTATATAAGCAGTTCTATGGAAATCTCTTTTTCACATGATTAGGAAATATCAGTCATTAATATATGGGGGAATGTACCCAGGTCAAGGACTACTGTTGATCATGATATGAAAGAAATATCTTTATACTGTACTTATTCAAAGTTATTTTACTGCTAGCTTGACTGTGCTAGTGTTTTATACACCATTTGATATGCGTTGTTGTGTTTCTTTCAGCATGGAGGCAAATCAGTCAAGGCGTTCTCAACCAGACTTCAGTATACAGCTGGAAAAAGATGAAGAACAGTTTGAAGAACTTATTATTCGCCCAAACCGACGCCTATTTATGCACAAGGTACTGTATGTCTGAATAAATGTATGAAGTTTCCACATAGGGGTGTGTGTGATATAGCTACAATTGTAAAATTATAATTTATTATTATTATTAATTTTTAATAATAACAAAAATTAACGTTTTGCTGGCTTTAACCCAGAGATTTTAAATTAACTCTGGAGCACATGCGGCTGTAAAACATACATGCAGCAAACAGGAATACACACGATAAATCAAAGTGTCAGTTTGATAAATTTCTCTGGAGAAAGAGTCAGTGCAGTTCACTTGTTTTTTGAAGATTAAGCGCTGTCGTCATCAGAAATATTATCAATTTAAATGTATTTAGAAGCCAGAAATACATATCAAAATATTGAGAAAGCAAATATTATTTCAGCAGTTTAACAATGTAGGTTTATAAACAGTCCAAAAGACTGTCATTTATGCATTAAAGCAAACTTTATTTACTTATATTTAATAGTTTACTGTAATATTAAAGCTATTAATTTATTTTAAAATCTGACAATCGCTAACTTGATCTGGCTTGGCAAAACATGCCTCTAGACTCTCAAGATGTGTTCTGCTTGCGTTTTGCAAAGTGAGTAGTTATGTTTCCATCCACAGATGCTAATTAGACATAAGCAAAACTGTAATATTGCATAAAAAATTTGCTAATAAAACAACATTTCCATCCAATAATTTGTCACTTTATGATAAACGGGCAACAAAAGAACAACAAAAAAAGGAATTTGCTGTGGTAGGAAAGTACCTGCACCTCAGATGAAATGCAATAAATGCACGGTGGCATTTGGAGCCATGAGACCACTCTTGGTGGACTTTGTCTAAGGCATTTCATAATGGCAAAAACAACATTTCAGACTGGTTTGTCCATTAATGCTGTCCTAAGGCACCCATTTTTATCACATGTTCTCCTAAATCAAAATCTCATGACTTTTTTTGATGCATGTACTTATTCTGTAATAAGTTTATTATTATTTATTCTGTAAATGTGTTTCCATTGTAGTTTATGCATTTTTATTTCTTATCGGAGAATAAGTTTATTAAACTATATATTTTATATGTTCATTTTAAAATGTATGCATTTTCATTTAAGCATTTTTAAATTCAAATCCATTCCTGGCTTGATATTGAAGCAATGTGATCATTCTGCAGAGAACTACAGTTGCAACAAAAAGAAATAAAACTGCAAACTTCCTCGAGCCAGCCTTGTCATTGATCACTCTTCATGTCTTCTTGTTTGTCTGTCATTAGTGTAGTCAGAAAGTGTTTGTCTTTAATTGTGATTTAGATGAAGATAAGTCTACAAATTATGAGTAATCAAGCCAGAAATCCAGGTAATTCCAAAGGGTTCACAAACCGTTTTCTCGCAACTGTACCTCATGAATCTAAATTTTCTGATTTATGCTTGCATTTAAATTGAGGTTATGTGGTAATGCTGGATGGCTGTTTTGAGTGTGACTAAATTTCTTGCGACACTTTTTCAGATGAAAAGCGGGGTTCACTTGTGTCAACGTTGGCTCAAAGGAAGAAGCACATACAGCTGTTCAAGACTCCTAAAATCCAGAGCCAAATCCCGCTACTTATTCATCGGGTACATTCTCATGCTTCATGTGCTGGTTTTCATGTGCCTCGGTTCATCTCTATGAAGAGCAATTCTCACCAAATCACATTTGCACAAACAGACTTAATTAGTGGATCCAGAAGCTTCCGCTCTAGATAAACAGTGTAGGAGTGTCTGTTTATACGCTGGCTCAGTTGATTTAAAGTGGAATGGTGTCAATCATAAACTGGAAGCTGCTGTATCACGACACTGGTTTCCACACACACTTCAACACCAGCGTTTAGAAGAAGAGGTACGCAGATTTTAGATGATCTGATGCAACGGCTATGCACTGAAATCTTAAATTTAGTTAAGCTATTATGTTTTTCATGAGCTGCCCTGTAAAATAGAATTGAAGATGAATGTCAATCTTGTTTGTCTGCACTGTAAATGAACGGGAGATTTAAAAGTAATTTATGATGTTGTATCTGTAAAGAGAGAATATGGAGTTTTATTTGTATGCTTAATACGTGTGATGTTTTGCAGGCCTTTAAGCAAGGAGACTAACATTGTTAGAAGCTTTACACATATGCTTTAGTGGGATTCTGATTATTGGAATGCAGAAACACTGGATTTATACCATGATTTTTGAGTTATTTTGCTTGTTGAATGATTTACTATGGAACTGTGATTTGTGTGTTTGCTGAGCTACAATGTAAGATTATTTTGCAAATCTGTCACACTACTCTATTGTGCAATACAATCTGTAAATGGAGTGTATGAGGAAAAAGAGTGAGTCTTTGTTTAATTAAACTACTGAGATTTTCCATGCTTTGTGTTTTGTTGTTGTTGTTACATTTATTCATTTTTCCTTCGGGTTAGTCCTTAATTTATTTGGGGTTGCCTGGGAACATTTTACACTACAGCAAATTTAGTTTATGCAGTTCCCCTATATCTTATATCTTTGGACTAAAGCAAACAGAAGGAACTCACGCGAACATGGGCAGAACACCCAAACTTCACACAGAAATGCCTCTTGGTGAATCGAACCAGCGACTTTCTTGCAACATTGCTAACCACTGAGCCACTGTGCTGCCTTGTGACATTTGTATTATTAATTTAACTGATTCTTTGTTTTTCTCCCATATGTAGCTCAGGGTGCGCATTGACTATAGTAACAATTAGGCCCACGTGATTTGTTTCTAAACCAGAAATCTCAAATTGAAAGGTTGCGATTATTTTGATGCTCTATTAAATGTGATAACAAGCATATAGTTGTTGACGGTACGTCAGCACATTATCCTAAACTATATGAAAAATTTAACAATCTAAACGTGAAGGTTTTATTGTCGACCTTTTGACTTTAGAATTATTTGTGTTCTTTGCACTTTAATTGTCAAAAATGCTTGGTATCATTTCAACCTTAATGCAGGTTCTCGTCTGTGTTTAACTGATATGATATATTGTTCTTTAGTTTGTTTTGATTTTTAAAACATTGTGTATAAATAATTTATTTTATTTAAGATACTCTAGCTATTTTCTTAATTTGTCATGACAACTGACTTTGTTAAAAAAAACAGAAACAATGTTTAAGAGGTTTTAAATAAGCAGTTGCATAGTGTAGCATATTCTGTTATTATGCTTGGTTTTTCTTTGGCTCTGTTAAAACCATCACACAAACCTGTGCACTTATGAAACGGTAGTTAATCACAATTTTGATCAGAAAAATGGCAATTAGATACAATGTTGTATTTGCCTTTGTAGTTGCAACACAGCACGCTCTATTCTGATTCGTGGGCAAAACAAAGTTTTTTTTGGTGCACAAAAGTGTTCTTGGAGATTCATATGATCACAGTTGAATCACTGTTTGAACCACTGTGAAGTTGCATGGAATGTTTTGAAATATATATATATATATATAAATATATATATATATATATATATATATATGTGTGTATATATTTATATATATATATATATATATATATATATATATATATATATATATATATATATATTTTTTTTTTTTTTTCCTCTGGACTTTGAACATCTCTGGACCATCTTGCCTATAGAGGATGAGGGTTCATGGCAATCCCAAATTCCAACTGCAATGTTAAACCAATGAGATTTGCTTTAGTTGACCACTAGCCCTATTGGGTCCTTGAGTGAGTCAATGATATTTTAAAGATGTCATATTCTAGAAATTACATATTTTGAATGATTAACTTTTCTTTTAAAGAATTGCCAAAGAGGCATTTTTTTTTACATTGTGTAAACGGTGTCAAAGTTATAAGTAAGGGTTGTGTGACCAGATGTATCTGCCATTGGTATTGTGTGTGTGTGTGTGTGTGTGTGTGTGTGTGTGTGTGTGTGTGTGTGTGTGTGTGTGTGTGTGCGCGTGTTGCTTTTATTATCAATTTCGAAACAATATTGGCTAATGTTAAAATAACAATTACAACCAAAAACTATCATTTGTATTTGTACATTTTTTTTTGTGCATAATATTAATACTTCCTAAAACGAATTGAAAACTGCACAAAATATAGATTGTCAAACATAAAACTAATTAAATGTTTAATGTAATAATAGGTGAAAACGATTCGGCAATATACCAACTCCTTAATTTGTGCATTTTTGTACTTGATCAAAACATGGAGCTCATGTTTACTCACAAAGGTCAACAAATGATTACACTTCCGCATTTTCTACCACAACAGAATTTTATTAGCAAATACAGAAAACCGAGGCGTGATCTTTCCCATCAACACAACACAGTGCGTAAAGCTGAAGGAGAAATGAGGTATTACACAGTGAATTTTGCTACCTCAAAATGTTCAATACTCTGTTCAGCTTGCTAGACTTTCACTATATAAATAAAAACGCAGGATTTCTCCACATGCAGAGGACATACGACACCACTGTTCAAAATTAAAACAATGATTAACAAGACGCAGATACAATGCCAAAGACAGGTATTGCATAGGTGAAAACAAACACAATGAATAACTGGTAAAACAACAAGTGTAGGTGTTTTTCTTCCACAAAGCTAAAGTTACTGTTCAAACAATAAATATATCACAGAAAAAAACAACAACATAATCATTCCATCTGTTAGCCTTCAAACTGTTCTTTTTTTACAACGATTGAAAAGGACTAAGAAATATGATGAAGATAATATTAAAGCATGGCTTTGGATATATTTAGCTTCTAGTTGTGTTAAACAAAATGGCAGCAGCGTGTTCATTTGTGCGCAAGTCATATTTAGAGCATTCAAAAAGTATTCAGACTTCTTTCACATTTCTTATTATTTCATCTAGTGGTCAAAATGCAGTCGTGCGTACAGGAAATATTGTAATCTGGGGGATGTTCTAAATGAGGATGAAAATGCAGATTTCACTCACTGACTAATAGAAAAGCTGCCATGTTTGAGAGTGATTTCTTTGTGAATTCAAATTCACTGATGTGACCGCACGCTATTGCTTCAAATAATTCATTCTCATATCAGTCTGCACAAAGGGTGAAAACTGAGGATGTCTGAATTCTTTCTGAATGCACTGTAAGTCTTTTCGAAGGGCAGACACTTTACTTTGTGAAAGGCTTTACAATCGTTTGTCATTCAGTAATAAACATCTCAAAGTGCTGCTGAAGACACAAAAGCCTTAAATGAAAGTGCTTAACATTTTTAACAAATGTCAAATATAGTTTATAGGGCACTGATAAAATGTGCTGCTTCGAGTGGCATGATTTTCTTTCAACCATTACACTGTAAAAAGCTATTAGTTGACTTTACTTTAAAAAGTGAGTAAGCTCATTTCCCTAAAATTATTAAGTAAATGAACTAGGTCCATAATTATAAAACATAAAATATCATATTAACAGTTACAATGGGTTTACAATTTTGTTTAATGATCCTATATTATGCATTATAAAAGGTTAATATTTTGGTTTGGGGAGTGCCCAACAACACTGCATGCAAGGTCAAAAGGAAAAAACAAACATTTTTGTTGTCTAATAATTTGCATTTAAATTATCGTAATGAATCCCATATGACTTTGATGATGTGAGTCATTTTCTAAACCCTTCCATTACATGATGCTAATCTGCGATGGTTGGTCCCATGACCCAGTCTGTTGTGATTGGTCTACTGCGTGCAGCGCATGTTGGAAACAGCTAAAGATTCATTTGATTTATATTAGTCGACTATTTTTTGAAAGTCAATAACTTTATACACAGACAATGTTTAGGTTTAAAACTCAAATGTACACTTAGAGCAGTGTTACACACTGCATGGAAGGTACTTTAAAAAGAAATCAATAATAGTGACACTTTAAGTAAAGTCAACTTGTTGCTTTTAAGGCAACGAGTTTACTCAGGTAATTAATCGCTTTACAGGGTACCTGTGGCAAAAACAAGAGGATCAGGAAGCAATTTAATCTGCCCTGCAACCTTATAGCTGAGCTCCACTGACACAAACCTAACTGCTAACTAATAAAACTAATAGCTCGTAAAACTAGCTGCTCACTAACTGCTCGCCACTCCAACCTTTTGAAAGCATTTAACAAATTTCTAATGACATGAAATACTTCACTAATCCTTCACACCCATGTTATTAAAATTCACTCTTACTTGCTTACACAATGTGAGGTATATTAAAACACTTTCAGCACGAAAGCTAACTTCAGTATAACAGCCTATTTTATTAAGGTCTGGGCTTTATAGTCATCAACTACCTGAAAATATTTGGTTTTGTTCCAAAAAAATACATCTTAAAAAGTTGTCATCTGATTCAAAAATAAACTTGGAAATGTTGGAAGTGTTCTTCACAGTAGATATGTATTTGGTCTAACGTAAGGAATATATTTTAAATATTTGATTTTATATACATATACATAGGTATAGATATTTTTTGACGTATATTCATTTGTTATCTCCGGTTATCAATGTACAATAACCTGCTGAAAATAACACCCCTGATTTATATTGAGGGGATTGTTTTGTGATAATGACTCTACATTATCCTACTTACTGAACAGCTGCCAAATAAATAGATTGAAAATATGTGTAAAACAAGACTGGAACGACTTGAAGATTATGTTGAAAATGACAGCAACTAACATTTATATGCAGCACCAGCTAGTCCTACAGCAAGATTAATTCATAGGAATCCCATGGCAATTCATAGCTTTTTTATTTACCGGCTAATTTGAACATTTCTATTCACACATTTTAGTATTATTTGTTCATTCCAAAGTAATTTAGGGACACGTCGTACATTTCTTAATTTGAACAAATTGGACACTTTTCTAACAACATGTAAAATAGTTACTCTTCCTCATGAGATCGGTTCAACCAATTATTTGATGGCAATAATTAATCTATCCCTCAGCCATCTACAGTATTCCTCTTTTGTTCCTTTTTACAACTCGACAAACTCTTCAGAGCCACATCGGTGTCATGCTGTCATGCAAATTCCTTTCTTAAAAAAAACAAAAACTATATAGACATACAGTGCATGCATATTTACTAGGCAATTCAATATTCTGATCAAATTATTTTTTTCCCAAGCACATTTTTCTAATTTCAAATATCATTACAATAAAGCTTGTAATTAAAAGGTGATTTGTAGATGTTGCTAACAAATTGGACTTTTGTAAAAGCCGTGCATTATCTGCAACACTCAGTGCCACCATTTTCTCCATCTGCAACTGGTACATGGAGTCCCCGGAGGTGCAAGTGTCAGGTTCTCTGAGGCTTTGCTAGTTTATAAAGACTGAAAGACAAACCCCTGTTAATAGAAAAATCAATACATTTGTCACTATTGAGATTTGAGAATGACCCTTGAGTAATGGTGCTTTTAAGCACATGAGTTAGACTGACCTTTTAGGATATCTCCTCAAATAACTGCTAATTTCTGAACAATTCTTTAAACAGCAGTATAAGGGGAAGAGATGCTCAGGAGGCACTCAAACTAATCTGTCCATTAAATATTGAAAAAATCCATAACACTTCAGCTTGTGGTGTTGTTGGGCTTTAGCCTTATCTTAGCAGCACCTGACTCTGTACTTTGGAAAGTGTTACGTAGGATGAAGTGTAGACAGGGAAATGGTGGCACTGGAGACTACAAGGTTGTTTTCCCACTTCATCCTCCACCAGTCTTATTGCAGTTAAGTGGACAGTTCACCCTCAAATCTTTTAAATTATTTGAAGATATTTGGACGAATATTGGAAAATGGTAGCCATTGTCTTCCATAGTATTGTTTATTCCTAATATGAAAGTAAAGCAGTTTTATACAACAGCCTACATCTATTCTTCTTAACTTGTATTTTTACATTTTTAACAGTTGAGTTGTATTAAGTAGTAATTATCAGATTTCTTCAAAAAAAAAAAGTGATTTTTAAACACTGAAAGTAAAATACAAATTGGTGTATTTGTTTCCCGAGGGAGAAAAATAGTGTGAACAATTCATACAGTAGATGCACAAGGCTTAGACAGCAAGACACCACAGGGGCTCTGTATTTTTTCTAGAAGGTCTGACTTATTATTAGGGATGTCAAAAACAATCTTTCTCCAATGGAGCCTAAACACTTACAGCCACATTTTGATGTGCAACAGTGACGCTGAAGCGATATGATTACACTTGTTCTGAAGGGTAGGAAGCACACTGAGGATTATGTAATAATTACACAATATCCTATTACAGCACATGCAGTGAAGCTGAAGCCAAAAAGGATCATGTGCTGCTCAATTCAATGAACACAGGATGGGTTTTGTTTCTGTGGCCATCCATGTAGAAGGCTGCCTTAGCTAAACAGTGCTTTACACCTCAAATTACATTCCTCAACTAGTGGTCGTACATCTGGCATCCATTTCATTTTCCATCTACTGACACTGGTAAAACAATGACCAACAAACAATGAACGTGTACGATTTACGTATATGCTACATACGGTTTGCATGTAAGGTCAGTAGTTCCCTCGAGGTGCACTGTTGGCGACAATACTAATCCTACTATGGCGAACGCTTAGCTCATGTTTATTACTGTACCCAGTCCCTCATTGGATCGCTCGCCTAATGAATATTCATGAGCCAAGGGTCGTCATAGCGGAACGGCTGACACGCGCATTAAATAAAATGGATCCAGCCGTTCTCCCATTCCCTCGGAGGAGAAATTTTAAATCTGTGGCGTCTTACTTTATAATTATTCCCACTGTTGTTATCCCAAAATTCACAACCTCCTACGCAGTACTTGATGGCAAACTGAAGTGTTCCTCCAAACTCCAGAAAGGTCGGGGTGATGATTTTGAAGCTGAACTGGTCGGTCTCCCCGTCATTAGAATGGGGGATGTAAAAGGCCAGAATATCCGTATAGGACGTCCAGTTATTCAAGGTGTACCTCAAATAGACGCTTTTCTCGAAAGCCAGGTTGAGAACGCGAACGACCCCCGAGATGCAGAACTCATCAGCATGAACAGACTCCAGCAACACCTTTCCTGCACTGACTCTGTCCTGGAAGTCAGGCAGGCATCCTGGGTTTGTAAAGAGCAGCTCCATAAACACAGACTGGCTTGACGTGTTGTCGAAGTTATTCAAGTGGAAAGCTCTGGCTTTTTTGAATCTGTCAATAATGCGGTCTGGAACCTCAGGCATATCCGTGTCATCAAAGTGCTTGACAGAAATCAGATCCAGTCCCAGAGAGTCTGCGAATCGCACCTTTTTTTGACTGCTTGGGCTCCGGCTTCTAGCGATTTCTAATTTGGCCCTTTCAGCCGATGTCGGGAGAGACTTGCACCTGCGGCGCTGAGTCGGGCTGTGTGGGGGCTTCAGGAACGACTCTCTCCCTCTCGGCTTTGTATTTACTACGTTGATTTGTAACGCTTCACAGTCTCCATTCTTGACCTCATCTTCCTCCATGTCGTCTTCTCCGTCCTCCAGCTTCTGCTCTGTCGCCAAGCTTCCGAAAAGCCCAGCGATACAACTGTAGTTTCTGGGGATGCAGTTCTTGGGAGGCAGCATTACCACAGTCTCAGCTTCCATAAGAGTCAGCAAAATCCTTTGAAAAATGTTCCGTCGTGATCTAACGTTAGATGTCCTTCCGCATCATAGGGCACTGGAAGCTGGCTGATAGTACTGCGGATGTCTGGACCAATCTTTGCCGAGATGCTGTTGCCGGCTGAATCCTACTATGGCGACGCCTCAGGTGCTGAATATTAATTAGGTCAAAATAACCTTCCTCGGTCGTGCGCTCAGAAAATACTTAATATTCATGAGCCAAAATAAGCGTTTTTAATTCGCTAGCGGACTGGCACTCATTACCATAGTCTATTTCAACCAATTACGAAAGGCTCATTTGTAGTTATTAATTCATGAGCCTTACCGTCACCAAGTTGATTTTTTTTCCAGGCTGACACGCCCCCTCAGCAACACGCTGTCCGTGAGCTCGATCACGTCTCGCTGTTGATGTAACCTTACACTGCAATGGGCAGTTCAAGGTAAAAGTCAAACGTTGGTTTGAAATGCTTTTGGACTACCGTTGTATTATTCATAATGCACGTTTGTCCCTCAGGTATTTTATTGTGTAAAACCTGAAACTATGAGAAGCAAAGTATGGAGAGTGCCTCTGTTTTGCATAGCTATTTTACGCATCACGTTATTCCTTTTCAAAACACACGATGACGATATTCTTATAGACTGCAAGATAAACAGAAGAAATGGCAACTGAAAACAGTAAGACTACCAAAACCAATGTAGACGCCGGCTTCTTATAAGTGCGCTCACGCCGACAAACAAGGCTCTTCTCTTTCCACTACGTCATTCTTTCACGGTTGACATGACAACATGACTCCAAACATCCGTTCTCTCAGTTTACTTCACCAGTGTAAGGCCCTTTAATGTATACTGTCTTTTAATATCCACCGTGAGTAGGCTATTCAAATTACGGTCATGTTAGTGCTGTCAAAATAACGTACGTTTATACTGTATAATGTATAAACACTTCTATTACATTTATCCGAAAACTTAAACAGTAGCCTAACGTTAACTTGTTAGAGTCAAAGTGATCTCCTTTTTGTTGTTTCTCAGGCTGTGATTGAAGCTGTCCAGGATGGATGTCTCTGCAAGCTGTGCGTCAGACGATGCTGATGCAGAAAAACAGTCGGCGAATATTGACAGCTCAAAAAGGAACTCTGAGTCTTCGGGCAGAAAGTATGTCAATGTGTTACTGGATCTCAGTGAAGAGGATTACTGCATTGAGAACAACGTGTATTTGTTGCAGAGCCGCACTGGCTGGGAAGACGCTGTGAGTCAAATGAACACGACATGAAACAGTTAATGTTTACACTGAAAATCCTGGATTATTTCAACTCCAACTGGGTTATTTTTATTTATAATTTATAGCTCACATTTAGTCCATATTTAACCCATATTTGAGTTGAAATTACTTAGCATTTTAGAGTGTATAGGTGAAACAAAGTAAATTGTTTGTTTGTTTGCTTTATTTATATAGCACTTTTAAAAACAACAGATGGTGACCATTTTTCCTAAACATACCTAATCATACACAGTTTTTTCAAATGTCTTTTTTTTTTTTGTTCTTCCGAGCACAAATAATGACTACCAGGCGTTTCTTTTTTTCTTTCATTATTTACAATAAATCTAGATTATTACCAATGCAATGTAAACATGCAGAGCTGCACTAGCAGGGAAGATGCTGTAAGTCAGATCAACACAACATAAAACACAACTAATGTGTATATTCTATAAAAAGGAAACACTAGGTTATATCAACCCAAGTTTGAGTATAATACAGGCAAAACATACTGTTGGCTTAATCTTAAAGATTGTAAAGATTTATTCTGTAAAGATTGAACCAAATTTTTAGATTCTCTATATTTTAGCATTTTCAGTGTAGTTTATCTTATAAACATGCCACTAAAATAAACAAGATTTCTTGTGTTTCCCCTCCTTAACTTCTAATTACATTCTGTATAGGATATGCATACAATGTCATTTATTTATTTTTATTTTTTCTGATGACACAATTATCAGACATTGTTACCATTATTTATAATAAAATATAATCATATCACCCCTCCCCCAAATTCTAATAAATGGTCAAGCATACTTAGAACAAAACTCATAAGGTAGAATATGTTTATGTAAGAATTCACGCAAAAATGAAAATAATGTAATTGATTACTCAATCCTTGTATCGTTCCAATCCGCTGAGACCTTTGTTGATTTTCAGAACACAAATAAAGATATTTAGATTAAATCCAGGAAATCTCTGACTCTCCATAGACAGCAATAGTCCTGAAATGTTCAAAGTACAAAAAAGAAACATTGTGAAAATATTTAATGTGTTTAAACAACCTGGCCACTGTTTTTCACTTCAGATCATTGTGTACATTTAGTTCAGGCAATATGAAGCTTGTGTGTTGCGCTGCCAACCCTAATGGCAATATTTTGAATAGCCTGTAGTAAAAGTGTACCTTAAACTGACGGGGGAAGAGTATTTTGGTTCCCTTTTGAGCCTTCTCTTTGAAGTCTTGGAAGTCTGTTGCAATATATGGAGAGTTCTCAGAGATTTAAACTAAAATAACCTAATCTTAGTTCGGAAAATTAACAAAGATCTCAAGGGGTTGAGGTGACACGAGAATGAGTAAATAATAACAGAATTTTCAGAGAGTTTTTTGGGTAAACTGATCCTTATAAGACTCTTAGGGATAAAAATGTGGTGCAAAAACATCAATTTAATAATATTTTTATCAGTCAACCAAAAAAATTGTAATCATTTCAAATATAATCAAATGTATTATGATCACTTATTCTTTTATAAATTCAGGTCAGAATAAGTAATAAGCATTTTTTTTGATAATACTTTATTCTGATGGTCCCCTTTAGACAGCCAGTTGTTTAAAAGTAGCTTTGCTACACATCCATTAAAGGTCATTAGCGAACAGAGTCTGTAGTGCTCACAAAATTGAATCCAAAAATTGCATTTATTAACAATTTCACAGAATCTCACAGACTGCTTTTTTAAACAGGTTGAAGGGTGGGCAAGATTTCCCTCTTTCGCTGCATTCCCTCAATCACAAAGAAAAGGTAAAAACAAGCAAGACGTCATCGTTTCTCATTGCCTTCTATGCGCGGACCTTAAACCATCTGAACTTGATTCTCAAACCCCTCTGAATCCTGCAAAAGAAACTCACAACACACTCTCCTCTCCCACTTCAGACGAACTCTACTCCTTTAGCTTATCTCTGAAAAATATGTCAGGGCCATTAATCAATAAACTGCTGTCAGGAGAGGAACTGTCTGCACAAAAGAAATCGCCAACAGTTTGCTATTATCAACCAGAATCGTGTCAACTGCTAAAAGAGCAGACAGTTGGTCTCAGCATTAGAAGCTTCAGTGTATTGCCGCCTCTTAAGGAGTCCAGGATCTTTTTAAAATCAGTGCAGCCCACAGATTGGCATCCAGCAGAGGAAGACAAGAACATGACGCCCAGAGATACCAGTGTTGAAGGTAAAATAAGTGCAGGAAATGATATCAAAACTCTCATGGACTTCACCCCAGGAGAGAATAGCTACAAGTGTAAAGGAGCTCTCGGCACAAAACACTGTCTGTCCCAGGACAATACTCAACTGCCTTCTACTTATAACATCAATTTTCAAAATAAGTACGAATTTCACTCCAGCGCCTTGCCCCAGTTTCCTGCACCCTTGGGACGAAATTTCAGGCAGGAAGAACTGACGAGGTCTTCAACCAGGAATAACACCAGCCATAGATTGTTTTCTAGCCACAAAACGAGAGATCTGAAAAGACCCGAAGCTCACCGACTAATGCTTATAGGAACTAGAGTTCACATGCCTTTGTGATGAATATCATTTTTCTTAGTTGCACCAGACTGTACAAAGTAGTGCAATACTGTTTTTAAATGGCAGGAATCCAAACACATGCTCTACGTGTAGCAATATATGAAATATTATTTTGCAACTAAAATATATTTTCACGTCTGCTTTTATTTCTGAGCCTACAGCAGCCTGTTATTTTCAAATTTATAAATAGATGTTGGACATAAAGGTGGTTTCAAAAGCAATAATATTAAAATCAAGGCAACAAGTGTATTATTAGCCGCTTTCACACAGTGATACCAGTAAATATCCGGAAAATTTCCAGAACGACTTTACCACTACATTAAAAAAAAAAAAAAAAAAAAAAAAAAAAAAAAAAAAAAAAGAGTTGTTCACACAGGCAAGGACGTTATGGATTTTTTCTGGAAAAGACTATTCACACATTCATTCCCAAATACAGGTAAATTCTGACATCATTAACCAGAATCAAACTCTAAACGGCTGTGCTTGTTTTTGTAAACATTTGAAAACATTTCAAACTCTGTGGATGGATTAGTATTGTGAACAATTTCGATGAAAACACGAAGGAAATACATACATATATATATATATATATATACATATATATACATATACATATACATACATACATACATATACATATATATATATATATATATATATATATATATATATATATAAATATATATATACATATATATATATATATATACATATATATATATATATATACACATATATATATATATATACATATATATATATATATATATATATATATATATATATATATTTATATATATATATATATATATATATATATATATATATATATATATATATATATTTTGCCCTTTATGTGTATATATATATATTTTTTTTTTATTTCAGATGACTTGTTAAGAGTAATTTTGATTTTTGTGAAATTTGTCCAGCCAAATGAGACAAACAATTTGCCAACACAAATAATACTTGCTCAGAAATCTAAAAAAGAACACATTATGATTGTAATATGAACAGCATTTTATGCTCAATCCCATTAACACTCTGAAACATTCTTCTCCTCAGTTTATTTTTAAGTTCCATGTGCATCAACATAGCTGTAACAACAGAACATAGCCATATAATTCACATGACCAGCCTCTAAAGAACAAAAAAAAAAAAAAAAATCATCAATATCATTAATAATATAGATAATTTTAGTAAGGTTTCATACTAATTTAAATAAGACACATACGTTGATAATGGCAAAAACTGCAACACAAAAGTCTTTCTTGGCACCAAAAAAAGGGCGAAAAAAACAAGGCATGCACTCTTTACAGAGAAACACTTGAGCTTAGCTGGACTCTTTCAAGTATTCTAAGACAACAGTTTCTACTATGACATCACTGCCTAAACAAATGGAACACGTATTGATCTGCAATGTTTATTCAGAGATTTAAATAATATTTGATTAACACGTGGCTGAATATAAGTGCCTACTGCTTGGCATGAAAATACTAAAGCTCTTTTGCAGTTACAATGTTCAGAAGCAGCCAATGTAACGTCATAAAGGGAACAGACACTGCGTCACCTACATTCTACTTGTTAAACTTCCACTATATACAAATTACATACGGATCAATGGGATATTCAAGCTAAAACACTTTTCCCCAAAAGAAAAAAAAAAAAAAAATCACACTCTCTCTCTCTCTCACGAACGCACACACACACACACACACACACACACACACACACACACACACACACACACACACACACACACACACACACACACACACACACACACACACACACACACACACACAATGACAATAAAGCTATGCTTGGCTTTAATATTTAGTATACTAAGGCCAATGAGTAGTGAATATACTGGAAATTTTACACCCCACTTATGTAGAGATGAAGCATTCAAAAGAGCCAAAACCAATTAATAAACACTCTTAACAAAATGAAGAAAATAAAACACAACCAAAAGGACAGCGAATCTGCATGTCCTCCAATAAGCAGCAACGTGATTTTAGTTTCTCCATCAAAAGCATAAAAACACTTAAATTAAGGCATCAACAAAAAGGTTTATAGAGTAAATGTAAATCAGTATTTAACATTAATAAGCAAGATAAACGTAACGTATTCCATCAAAACTGATACATGCTTTTAAAGAAATATTCAAGGTTTGGTTTAACTGTAAACTCCTGTGATTTGCGTATTTGAATCTACTCACAGTACAGAATGCAAATCACAGTAAACAAGAGCAATGTGCCAGCCCGGTTTCGCTTTTAAGGAAAATGACATCTGAAACATGCATAAGATACGATTTCGACCGATTTAGGATTTAAAGACTAAACTGAATTTGCCATTAACAGTCAGCAAGAAATATCTGCAAGAATTCTGTCATGAATCAAGACTAAAATATACTCACAGTGACTATTAGAGCATTGCACTAACAAGAGTAACACATGTCGGTTTCATAGCACAAAGCAAACAAACAGCATCAGGTTTAGGAAAAAAGGATGTAACAATGAAATAAGACTTCTAAACGTTATCATACTTTAAAGTTTACAGACAAGACATTTTACGTGTGGAATGAATGTTTGGCATTTTTACACACAAACACTTGTGCACACAGGATCACACGCACACAAAACGGTAGTAACGTCAGTTCCAACTTACTACACAGGCTCTGACCTGATCTAGTGCAACAAAAAAAAAAATACTTTTAAGACTACCGAAATGTTAACAATTAACAGTGAGATGATAAAGTGCTGAAAATGTATATTTATACATCCTTAGATTTGGGCAGATATGCAATTAACGGTCACACTTTACAGTAAGGTTGCTTTAGATAATATTAGTTCATGTGTTTACTAACATGAACATAACATATGCCTCATATTAAAATCCAATTGTGCTTGTTAACATTAGTTAACGCACTGAGAGAACCTACAGTGTAGACAATATTTTTCATTAACTAATGTTGAAAAGATGAACTTTAATAATTATTTGTTTATATTAGTAAATACATAAGCAAACATTAGCTAATGGAATCTTATTGTAAAGTGTTTGCGCAATACCTTATAGTGGACTTTTGTCAAAAATAAGGCTCTACAAGTGCATACACACAATTATTATCGGACAGACTAAGTTCTTGGTTTTGAGGGAGTGCTTGTAAAGGGATAGTTCATCCAGAAATGCCTGAATAAGCTGATTAATGTGTTCTGGAATACTAAGAAGTAATAGAACAGTTGAGTTTGATCAAGGTTGGAGCTAAATTGCAAACTATTGGATCTCAAAGGCTGAAGTTGAGAACCCTTGCTTTAAGTTCTACCACCCTTGTTGAAGAAGATACTAGAATGACTCAAACTAGATCAAATGACCCTTATGAGGCCCTCAGTCTTTGACTTTTTCAGTGTGTCGAAACAGTGAGAGGAGCTCCTCACACGTTTGGGTTTCCACCGAGCTAAAGTGAGACTCCATGTTCCAGGCCAAGTCTGCTGAAAGAAAGTCATCCACTGCTGTCTGGGTCTCATTGCTAGTGTGGAAAAGGTGACCCAGGCTGTGAAAAGAACTGGAAATGGTCTGGGTTTCAGCACTGCTGAGCCTAACCTGACCATCATGAGAGCAAGGCAGAGAAAGTGGAGCGGGCCTGATGTCGGTCTGTGTTTCTGTGTCCGAGGATTCAGTGCTCATGCTGAAACTAGACTGTCGAAGGATACTGCCAAGGGGCATGTGTCCACTTGTCTCGAGCAAGAAGTTGAGATCTGTCTGGGTCTGCGTGTCAAACATCTCAAGCTCTAGATCATTTGGTTGCACCCTTGTTCCAACATCACTGTTGTGCCCATTACCAAGGTTATCAAAGAGCAGGAAGTCAGTCTGTGTCTCGATGTCCAGGAGCTCCAAAGTCGTCTCTGTGTTCAGAGTATTCAGGCCACTTTCTTCTGTCTGAGTTTGAATGTGGGTTGCATTAAGGAACTCCTCGAAGTCAAAGTCTATACCTGTGTTTTGTGATTCATGCCCAGCAACTAAACCTGAAGCACAGCTCGAAGTTGCCCCAGACATGCTGTCAGAGAGTATATTCTCAAGGTCACGGAAGAGTATCATGGTCTGAGTCTGGTTGTCTGCAACTGTGTTTTGGTCAGTCTGTGCCCCAAAACACATAGATGCAGAAGATTTGTCCTCAAAAAGCTCAGCTCCAGTGCAGGTGAGAGGACCTTCTAAACCACTGGTTCTGAAAGGAGCATCAACAGTTGCAGTCTGAGTGGAGACACTGAGTGTATCAGGGTCAAAAAGATTTGTGCACATTGCTTGGTCCATCTGGCTTTCATTCAATGGGGCTACAGAGCAGCTTGTTTGTGTTTCTCGGGTCACATTAAAGGAAGAGAAACTGAAAAAATCTGTTTGTGCCCCAATTGAAAACGTGGCTTTGATTCGTGAGGGTAGCGTTTGGGTTTGTACACTAATAGGCAGCTGAATTTGAGCACTTACACTTATGTCTGTCTGTGAGCAAGAGGACACTGAGGCCTCATTGAGGGAAACAGTCTCTGGTCCAGTACCCATCTCTTTGTTGAGGTATGTTATATCAGTCTGAATGTTTGTTGAAGTGCTTTTGCTTTTGATTCCATGATCAATCAGCGGATCTTCCACAGAGGCTTGACTCTCAAGATTGACCTGTACTCCTGTGCTGATAGTTTCTGGGCCCAATGTAGAAACAGGAAAGGTCTCTTTGAAAGTTTTATTGTTCAGATCAGGCACCATTGTGCCGATTGATGGTGACAAAATATGCACAGTGCTTACGGACCCTTGTGCATCCAAAGACAAGACCAATGACCTCAAGGCACTACTTTCTGTGGAGGGGAGGAGAACAGGCAGGTGGGCAAACTGCATAACAGGAACATTCACTAGGGCCACTTTGGGCTTTGGGAGAAGAAGCTTCTGGATGTGTCTAGGTTGGTTAGTGTTGTATTGTGCTGCGTCTGGGGCTTCAGAGACTAGTATGGTAGTAGCTGTTCCTTCAGTAAGCTTTTTCTTAGAGTCAGGCATGTCATCAATTTGTTCATCGAGCAAAAAACTTGTTGCCCCACTTGACAACCTTTCCATTTTCCTCTTTTTTACTGGTGGATACCTAAAAAATAAATAGTGACTTTGAGCTTTTTATAAAAAAAATTAACAAAATTAACAACCGTAAACTAGGATATGTGATAAAAGGTTGCCAAACACAATGTCCTATCTGAGGCCACATATGATATCCAGTCATAATCAAAGTTTAGAATCATACCATCCTCTTTTTTAATATTTTCCCATTGAACCACCACCAAACACAATTTTAACAGATTACCTGTGCTCCTTGGGAACCTCGTGACCAGTTCTGTAGATATGAGACAGCAGTGCTGCTCTACTGGCATAAGGACAACCACATGTGCAGCTGTATGTCCTCCCACAATCCTCCACATGTCTCCGCAGGTCCCACTCGGTGCTGTAGCCATTACTGCACTTTAAACACTTGTGCTTCTTTTCCGCATGCATCTTCATAAAATGCTATACAGTTAGTAAGATTGGGAAACATGTTAGTTAGCAGTTGTTTTCCTAGTAAGACTTTACTGATGGTAAATTGAAGAAACATCACAGACAGACACATGCTCCAGACAAATAACAATGGCAAGTACCTGCTTAACAAGCGAAAACTGAGAAAAGGGTCTGTTCGGTCCTCTTGGGCATCCTTCAATTGGGCAACAGTACAGCTTTTGCGAATTCTTATCGCCCTTTCTAATCGTAGGGTTAACCAGACCCTCCTAAAATTAAACAAAGCATATTAATAAATACATGTAAAAGATTACAATAATATCTCTGGTATACCTGGCTCAAAGATGTTAAATTAAACTTCAGATTTTTTTTCTATCGTTCTATATTTTGTATGCATGTAAGCTTGATTTTTGAGTAGACAATGAAAAGGTGACATTATGCAAACATCCTTCAGCTGTGATGACTGATGATCTGAGGTCTGCATAGAATCACAAATTTTGTAACTGATGACCGCCTACATAGACATTGCATCCCTGATACATCAAAAGTATGTGTTTGCACCAACACAGCTGATCATTCTGAGCCATCTGTCATGTCATACTTGGGTGGGTTAGCATCATCCTTGTTCTGTACAGGCCTCTGGAAAACTCCAAGCTTGTAAGGATACTAACCTTTTTAAAATAATCAAGTAACAGTATTATGCCCTGGCTAAATTTCCTCCCTCAGCCCTTACCCATCATGGCCTCCCAATCACCCCCATCCACTAAATTGGCTCTATCACTGTCTGTCCTTTCCACCAATCACGGTTCTAGATGGCCAATGTCCCTGCAGAGTTTAGCTCCAACATGCATCAACACACCTGCCTGGAAGTTTTACATAAACCTTGTAAGACCTTTATTAGCTTGTTCAGGTGTGTGTGACTTGGGTTGGAGCTAAATTCTGCAGGACACCGACCCTCCAAGACCAAGTCTGGTGACCTCTACCAAACACTATTGTAAAGCGCTTTAGGTGCATGGTCATACACAATAAATGTGCTATATAAATCCACATTTTATTACATCAGAGTTTGTGTTTGTTAATATTATAATTCATAACTAATCCATATAAAGACACATGGGGCTTACGATGTATCTACAGAGTGCCATACTAAAACAGGCAGTCATCATTTTGGTAACTGTGTAGGGGTACCTAGCTGTACATGAGCAAATCATATAAAATATATCCTATCAGATGTGAAATCAACCATAACACGGTATATCAGAAACCAACAAATGTATTTGTACTTGCACGTCACGTGAATTATCATCATGACACATGTACCATTAGAGCATGAGGTTACAGACATGTAATCATATGGAATTTGGAAGCTATATGCTTTGATTTGATTGAATTTGACTGTGAATAACTTATAGTCTGTTAATCAAAAAAACTTTTATAAGGATAGTTCATCCAAAAATAAAGGTTTTATGACCATTTACTCATACTTACGTGGTTCTAAACCTTTATGAATAGATACAAGATGTTCTAAAGAATGTTGGGAACCAGGAGTTATGGATATATAGTAATGTATGAAGCTAGGAACAAAATATACTAAGGAAGTCAATGCCTGCTGCTTTTCTTGCATTTTTCTTAATTTTTTATTTTGTCTTTAGCAGAAAAATAGGAACTCAAACATGTCTAGAACAAGTGACAAATTTTCATTTTGGGGTGAACTATCTATTTAAGAGGACAAAACACTGGAGATGTACAAATTAGTCAATGGAACATTTATGACCAGCTTGAAACATTTCGACAAAAAAAAAAACAACACACAGCTAAAACCTTTGTATTATTATTTTTTGCTACAGAAAACAAATAACAGCAAGAAAAAGAATAGTGGACTGCATGCTTTCTTATTCTGCACTGCAGAGGCATTACAGGAAACAGACAGACCACATTTCTCTGAAGAAATCATATATGCATAATAATAAATAATTAATGCCAAAAAGAACATAAAAACTCCTAACAGACTGTTCACACAGATCAACTTGAGGATCGTGGACCTTTCTTCTTTGAGTCATGAAGTCTCTACTAGCTTTCTCAAAAATAAGAAGCCCATGCTTGACAAACAAGCCTGGCTCACTCTGGTGCAAACTGTGGTTACGTCATTTAGGCTTCCAGCCTGTCGAGCAGCTCTCATTCAATGCACTGTTCACTCTGCAGAAAGCTGCCAGAAAGGCTGAGAGGAAATTCTTAACATCCCCTGAATAGATAATGTAATTTTTTATAATTTGCATAGAATACATAACTTTTTTTTTTGTTTTTCAGGGGTTTATATATAATTGTAAATAATTAAAAGTTCAAAGTCAGTAATCAATGATGGTGATGCACAAAACTAGAGCATGTCGTATAGTTGTGTGTTTGCAGAAAATACTATATAATTAGTTAAATTTTGTCCATTGATTTTAAGAATATTCAGAATCAGACAAAAGATGCAATCAATACATACTGTATATCCTAGAGTACACTTTTGTAAACTGCCTATTTTTGTTTCTTATTCTAAATAATTACAGACGTTTCTTATTGTAGAAAATTAGATCAAGCATCTATACCGTCACTCTTACAGAAATCAACATTTCAATTCATGTAGCAGCTTAGATGTTACCACATAATTCATTAATGCAAATATTGCTGAGTTTATTTCACATAACAAAAATGCAGAAGGGTCAAACAACAGATAACGTTAAATCCTATATAGATAAATACCGAAAAATCAGACCTGAAACGAGAACAGTCAGCAGCAGATGTGTCCTGGTGTTGGTGCAGTGTTTTACCTGGACTCTGTGAGACTTGACCAGATGCATGTTGAGTGCTGGAGTGTTGGGCAGAATCTTCCCACATCCTTCCACCGTGCAGAGGATGTTGGTCCGCACTTCTTTGGTGAGCTCTGTTATGGAGGGTTTAATAATCTCTCTGTCTTGTAAAGGTAGCTTCTCGCTGCATTTTTGTCTTTTGTGACGGCTATTATTATTGACTGTCGCAGCAGCCATGATTCAACATACTACAACACGCATTCACTTCCGGGACACGTTACATAGCAACCAACTCACCTCAGACAGTCGCACATTTACTTCCGGACGACGTACAAATACCAAGTACGCAAAGTTCGGACTTGCGTCCTTGGAAGTTCAGATTTGCCAAGTTCAGACTTGGAAGAACGAACTCCCGAGGACGCGAGGACACAAGTCGGGTAACGTTACTTCTTCAAATGAAACAGCAGTATACTTTATAACGTCACTAACCTCACCATAGATTTATCAGTTTCACTGTACATTAACAATAAATTGATTTAATTATTATTAATTATTAATATTATATTCATATTATAAATCTACATTTTTGATTTAGGAAAATGTACACATATATTCGTATAAATGTGAATTAAAATGTGTTATTATACACAGACACGTGTCTTTGATTATCAGATTTATTAAACTACAATGGTAATTATACACACAATAAGAAATAAAAGACATACACGATAAGAAATAAAGATTACGTCAAACAATTTGGTAAACAAAGACAAACAGCGTACAACACGGTAACATAATTAAAGACAATTATAAAAGGTAACAAAATAACACTGCCAAAATAATACACCTGAGAACAAATAATAGATTTATAAGACAAAAAACTGTCCGTTAGATATTCACAAGATGTATTAAACATCATGTTTTAACTACAATGGAGTGATGAGGTCCAGCGGTACGTCCGAGATGGCCTGGTCAAAGTAAAGCTGCTCTGGCGGGCGAGCTGATGACGGAGCTCCCGCTGGCAGGCTGGGAGTCAGAGTCCGCATAAGCCGAGGCACATCGTCAAAAAAGTATCTTTTGAGATCGGCACGCACAGACCTGCACTTCCAGACCTATCGTTTTCTCCGACAGTGCCACCTGCTGTTGGGTTGGGTGAAGCTGCAGGTACGGAGACCCCATAGATATACATTAGATGTCCCCTACCCTGTTGTTGTCTATTGGAAGTAATGCGTCAATAGAACCGTCATTTTGGAACAGGGTATCGCTCCATTGAAATGAATGCGGGACCAAGGTACAGTGGAGGACTGTGGCCATCCAAAGCCAGAGATATACACATATATCTATGATTGGGAGTTTTCCTGGATGTTAGTATTCAATTTTTTTATAAATTACGAAAATTATAATTTTACAACTTTTCTACATTGATGGATCAGTGATTGCACAGGCATGCCTGACAAAAAGCTTGTGTTTGTGTGTACAGAAATGTACTATCTTCTCTGTTAAATTTGATTTAATTCGTGTCCTGAAACACACCTCCTTTTTTTCAAACAAACTTTTATTTAGAAAAGAAGAAATTTACAATATAAATCAGGAAGTAATCTGTAGAAGACTGGAATACAAGAATATACAATTACAAAGTGATAAGAACAATAAGTAAAAAGAAAAGAGTAATAGAAAGAAAATAAAAAGAGAACAAAATTAGGAAAGGGGAAGTACAAAATTAAATTAAATAAAAAATACAGAAAGCATTAATTACTAACATACTGGAAGCATGATTTTTCATAAGTTTCTATTAACTTGCAGAATTTCTTGTTGTTAGACGTATCTTTAAGCATGGAATCAATTTCAATTAAACTGAAACACACCGCCTGCTTTCACTTCTCATACTGACGGAGGGAGCGGTTCGGTTGTGAATGAATCTCCGTTATGAACGACTCGTTCACTAGCCAACAATAATACTACCAGTTTCTGGCAGTGCAGCATCTCGTTATCATATTTCTTTTGCATTGTTTGCTGATTTTATTCATCAAAATTAGCATAAGCTGAGTATTTAGTGCGAGTTGGAGCTACTTTGCCTCATGGTGAATGCAGAAAGTGACTTAGTAACGTGACCTGTTTAGCACAAAAGTTCAGAACATACAAAAACGTAAAAAACTTAATCTTACCAATGAAGTGTTCTGCCTTTGGGCTTTGTTTTCTTTGAATGCTCGTTACTACACCCGTACACAGCGCTAAAGTCTAGCATCTTCACGTAATAACACTGTGTTGACTAGGTTGAATGACATTTGTCCTGGGAGCAATGTACCAGTTTGGCGGCGCATGCTCAGGGTTCCTATGTGATATCTAGTGTATATATCTATGCGGAGACCAAACTGCATGCTCAGACAAGCATTTTCTAGCAAGTAGAAACATCAGAAACGCCAGTGAGGTTATTGATTATTAAAGCGATTGCTGAAAATTACCAGGTTTTGCCATAAATCAATGTGGTGTAAAATATTATATTAAAAAACAATCATTTCAGTGTTTGATTTGATCAAAATTAGTGCCAAAAGAAGGGGTTAGTTGGGTCTCTGCCAACACTAATACAGTGCACCAAATGTTGCAGATATTTCCTTTTTTTTTTTTTTTTTGCATGAAATGAAAAATCTCCCCAACAAGATTGTAAAGCATTTATTTTGTTTGATAATATTTTCTACGTGAAAAAATAGCGCTGGAGCACTGTCTCCAATTATTATTTTTCACCATTTTTCTATGCATTGTTTACTACTTGGCTTGTAGGACCTCATGAAAACGTACATAAAAGTAAAGTTTGTTGTGAGAAAATTACGCATAGTACTATAATTTATTGTATGTGTGTGAAGAAATTTATTGTATATGAAGATAATATTCAATCCCTTTACTCAATACGAAACAGTGATAAATCCTTAATGATTAAAAGAAAACAATATCAACAAATGTCTGAAAATATTGAAATAACAATAAAAGGATCAATATCTATTTAAAAATGCAATTAATAACAGAATTAATGCATTAAATCAAAATCTAGTATGTTTAATATTTTATATATTAATGTATTCAACCATAGCGTAATATTTTATAGTAGAAAAATAGTTTAAAGAGCCCATATTAGGGGTTTTTGAAAATGCACCTCCATGTAGTGTGTAACACAGCTCTAAGTGAAGTTAAAGGAAGTTAAAGGAAGGCGTTTATTAAAGGAAGAATCAGTAAAGTGTACTGATTGACATGTCAGGACATGAATCGATTTCTTCCTCCATTTCTCAAGTGTAAGTACATGCGATTAAAGTTGTTGCCTCGTTTACTCTAGCTTGCAAATGTATTTAGTTGTGATTTGTTACTTATAACTGCATGTACTGTATCAGGTTAACTCGCTGTTACGAATTCTCCATGTATGCCTGTCAGAGAGTATGAGCATGCAGTACACCAAGTACGCCTCAAGGTGGCACTGTTTGATCACATATGGACATTTAGTGAACTGATTACAGGCATCGTGCTTTAGTGTTGCATCAGCCATTCCGTCTGGAAAGTTCGCTCGATTGCACGCATTATTGGGACAATGTATGAGTGACAGACAAAGTAAGTTTAATGTTATTTGCTTATATACTGTTATTTGAAGATTGAATCAACAGCAAACACTGTTTAGCAGTTTAAATGTGTTTATTATGCACAATCTGTTTACTATCGCGATCTGTTCATTGCCCGTGAATTGTGCTCTGTAATATGAGACGCTGATCATTGAAAGTGTAAATTGATGATCATTATAATTTGTATTAACAAAGGAATAAGTGTACACTTGATACTTTGTATACTAAGATATATTTCAGTTTATTTGTTATTTGTATAAGAATGTTTCAGTAATTAATTTGTAATTCTTTTGTTCTTTATTGTTCTCAGAAACCTTGCATTTGTCCATCTCAGCAATCATTAAAGCTACATATATCATTTAATACTGACTCCAAGTTCTCTAATCGGAACCCTGTGGCGGTTAGCAAACATCGGTCCAGTAATTAATCCCTAATTGTAACATGGTCCTTCGAGCCGGAGCTAACTACTACAGACATGTCAGTATCTGAAGCAAACTCTTCCAGTCCAGTTCAGAGGTCAGTGAGGCTACGTACACTTCCTGCGCATCTGGAAAACTATATTTTGGATATCAATCTTCCTAGTTGTCTTCCATCAAGCACTTTTGCAGCGAATGTAGTTGGAGATATATTGGCATCATCTACGCTCGCTCCCATGAGTAAATCAGAGCAAATTCAGTCAAATAAAGAACTTTCATTGAGAGAACTGATGGAGAACCTCTCCGCAGCGGAGCAGGAGGAATCAAATGAGATCGCACAGCTCACAAGCAGATTGTCTCTTTATGAGAAAAGGCAGCAGCGTCGACAGGATATGATGCTGCGAATTAATGCATTCCTACATGAAGAGGAAGCCGACAGCCTTATAGTACAAGGTGCAGACGCAGCCATACAGAAGGGAGCACATTCCCAGGAGTCTGTTCCTCACATTTCCTCGACTGCTGAACACTCATCAAAGATACCAGCTATTTATTTAGCATCTCAGCCTGCATTAATGAGCCCAGAACAGAAGAGATCTGACCTCCCTCCTATCTCATCAGCACCGGTAACTCCTAATACACCTTATGTAGTCCAGTCTACTAACATAGCCCCGCCTGCATCGCAGACGCTTCCATTACACAATGTGAGTTCCATTCACTCTATGCCATCATCATATTTCATGTCTCCACGACTGCACGCTGACCCAGACGCAGCACAGATACAAATACGTACACCTGTACAATATGGACATCAGTCACCCCCCAAACTTATAAGGTCCTCAGGCCTGGAGGATGCTCCTCGACTGCCCCAACAGCAATGGGCCATAAATTATCCCGTTACAGTGCCTCACATGCAGCCTTCTGTAGCCCATCCAGGCAATCATTATGCCTATTCAGCACAGCCTGATTACCGTAGTGCCTATCACCAGCCGTATGCAGTGCACTCAAATGAATGGCCACAGCCTATTGACTATCGTGCAGCACCCCCAGTTCATATGCCCCTGTATGGAGCACCGAAGCCTTCAATTCCAGATTTTAATGCAGACAATGAAAGGGATTTCGCCAATCTAAAACTGGCATTAGACAATCTACTAGATTCACATCCAGAACTATCAGAAAAATACAAGTATCACGTGCTGCTAGAGCATCTCAAACTCCCAGAGGCTCAAATGATCGGCCAATCATGCCGACATGAAGCTCATCCTTATACATCAGCAATGCAAGCTCTTCAGTTACATTATGGACAGCCTCATCAGTTAGCTCAGAGCGAAATTGCAGCTATTCTGAATGCTCCAGATGTTAAAGTTGGTGATGCTAGTAGCTTCCAGTCATTTGCTTTAAGAGTTCACCTTCTTGTGAGTATGCTGTTATCTCTGGAAGGATCCAGAGGTATTGAACTTAGCTGCTGTTCCCATGTAGATAGGCTCCTCAGCAAACTCCCTAAGTATCTCAGAGACAACTTCATTGAATATTTGCAGATACAAGGTAAGCTGAATGTCTCCAGTCTCAACCCATATAACCTCAGAGACTTCTCTGGCTGGCTTCAAGGTAAAGCTCAGCAGCAGCGCCTGTCCAATAAGCTAGTTGAACGTTATCAGAAAGAAAAGTTTATCCCCCAAGCACATGGGAGAACCTCAACGCGACCTAGAGGTCAGAGTACTTTAGTCTACCATGGGGTAGAATCCCAAAGCAATAGAGCTCCTAAGCCGGAGTCTCAGCCCCCTCAGTGGAGAAAATCCAAAGTGCATTGTCTGTTCTGCCACAGTAAAGATCACTACATAACACAGTGCTCAGATATTAAGGAGCAGTCAGCAGATAATCTCATGCAGTGGATAGTAGAGGGAAAACGATGTTGGAAGTGTGGTCGTTCTCATTCTCCAGAGAGCTGTAATCTGAGAAAACCCTGCGGTATGTGTGGAGAAATACACCTTCAAGTGCTCCATGGAGCTGCAGAGAAGCGATTCAAAGCTAAGCAGACTACTGCACTGAGTAGCAGAATCTATCTCACCCCTTCTAACTCCTCAGGTCGAGTCTTGCTGAAAGTGGTGCCAGTGCTGCTGCATAACGAGGACAGGACCATCGAGACATTCGCTATACTTGATGATGGAGCAGAACGAACCATGCTGCTGCCCACAGCAGCTCAAAAGCTGCAGCTGGAGGGTAAGGAAGAAACCTTAGCCTTACGTACTATTCGCCATGATGTTACATTCCTTACTGGTTCGATTGTTACCTTTGATGTGTCCTCCATGCTCAATTCTGGAACCAGATATAGGATTCAAAATGCATTTACTGCTGCTGGTTTAGATCTGGTGGAGCAGAGCTACCCTATAAAGGCTCTCCAACACAAATATGCACACTTAAGGAATCTTCCACTGCAGCCTTTCAAGAATGTTCAACCCTTGTTGTTGATTGGGTCAGATAATAGCACTCTGATCACAGCGGAGAAGACAGTTCAAGCCAGCAATCAGATGGGACCAGTTGCAGTTCGCACAAAGCTGGGCTGGGCTCTTCAAGGCCCAGAAGGCCTCCTAAACAAAGGTACCACAATGACTCAGAGCTATTTCTTTACTGCCTCAGCAGCACACGACACACTTTATAGAGATGTGGAAAGACTGTGGCAATTAGACTCATTACCATACCGCAGCGAGAAGGTTGTAATTCGCTCTAGACAAGACCAAGAGTCCATCAAGATTCTTGATACTAAAACGTGCAGATTATTGGTTAATGATGTGGAACGTTATGCCACCCCACTCTTACGCCCAGCAGAAGCTCCTAAGCTGAGAGCTCCTAAAGAGTCGGTACTAGCCAATCTACGTAACACAGAAAAGAGACTCCGAGATCAGCCGGAGAAAGCAGCTGCTTATAAGGGAGAAATGAATAGGCTGATTCAGGCTGGCTATGTGAAGCAGATTACTGCAGAGGAAGCTGAAAACTCAGAGGAGTCCTGGTATCTGCCACATCATCTCGTTTATCATAATGATAAAGCACGGCTAGTGTTCAATTGTTCCCATGTATACAAGGGCACCTCCCTAAACGATCAGTTACTGCCAGGTCCGAACCTGGGGCCTTCTCTAATTGGGGTCCTACTGCGATTCCGGCAACATCAAGTGGCAATCAGTGGGGATATAAGAGGAATGTTCCACCAGGTTCACCTGTTGCCTGAGGACACTCCGTTGCTACGGTTCCTTTGGAGGGACTTACAGCAGGAAGCCTCACCAGAGATATATGAATGGCAGGTGCTACCTTTTGGGACAACAAGTAGTCCCTGCTGCGCTATCTACGCATTACAGAGGCATGTCAGAGAACACCCACGCAGCACTCCAGGTCTCATTGAGTCAGTCGAGCGCAGCTTCTATGTTGATAATTGTTTGGAGAGTCACCCCAATGGTGCAGCAGCCCAAGCTAGAGTTGATGACTTGCGTAGTTTACTAGCTGATGGTGGATTTGATATCAGACAATGGGCTAGCAATCGATTATCAGTTGTGGCTCACCTACCCCCTGAAGCCAGGTCTAAGGACATGGAGCTGTGGCTAGAGCATAATCGGAGTGATCAAAGAGAGCCTGCATTAGGACTCTGCTGGAACTGTAGTTCAGATACACTGGGCTACAGATATCGACCCATTGAGTACTCAACTCTGACCATGCGCACAATTTATAAGATACTGGCCAGTCAGTACGACCCGCTAGGGTTCCTTACGCCATACCTAACCAGAGCTAAAGTTCTTGTGCAGCAGCTGTGGGCAAAGAGGAGAGACTGGGATGATCCAGATCTCCCTCTAGATCTATGTGAATCCTGGAAGCAATGGGAGAGTGAATTGCCAAATATCAGTGCCATCTCAATCCCTCGTAGTTATCTCCCAGATGGAATGGATCAGCCCAACACTGAACACCACCTTCATGTTTTCTGTGACGCCTCTGAGAAGGCGTACGGAGCAGTAGCCTACCTCTCATCCACACAAGGTGGTGCTACCAATGTAGCATTCGTCATGGCCAGATCAAAGGTTGCCCCTAAACGACAACAGACTATGCCACGACTGGAGTTGTGTGCAGCGCTGGCAGGAGCGCAGCTTGCCAATCTGATCCAGACAGAATTGTCAGTCACACTGCAAAGGACTACACTGTGGACAGACTCCACGACAGTTCTAGAGTGGTTGCAATCAGAATCATGTAGATTTAAGGTATTCGTTGGTGCTCGTGTATCAGAGATACAAGAACTTACAGATCTGCGAGCCTGGCGTTATGTGGATACGCTGAGTAATCCAGCGGATGACTTGACAAGAGGAAAGAAACTTCTAGATCTAGCTACTCCCAACAGGTGGAGTAAAGGGCCATCCTTTCTGTTGCAAGCTCCTGACTGTTGGCCAGAGAAACCACATACTGCTCCATTACTCCAGTCAGATGAACTGAGAAATATAACACTCTGCAACTTAGTATCGGTACAACAGCAGGACAGTGTGCCAGATGCAAGTCAGTTCACATCATGGAAGGACCTAGTCGAAGCTGTCCGCCTCCAATGTCAGGGTACAGGAGAGCCTGCTCAAACTCAGCCAAGCAATAGTTACCGTGCAGCTGAACTCACCCTTCTAAGAGCATGCCAAGAAAGCAGCTTTCCAGAGGAGCTCACCTCACTTAAGACAGGCCAGCCCGTTCATATCAACAGCAGGCTCAGGCACTTAGCACCAGAGCTGGACGAGGCAACTAACCTTATCAGAGTAGGAGGGAGGCTACGACGGATGCAGCCGATCAGTGACTTTGAGATCCATCCTATAGTGCTCGACTCACGTCATCCTGCCACTGCCCTTCTTATCAAAGACTATGACGAGCGCCTGCTGCATAGTGGATCTGAGAGAGTCTTCGCAGAGATCAGAAGGCAGTATTGGATCTTGAAGGGGCGGCAGGCTATAAAGAAACATCAGCTTCAATGCACAGAGTGCCAACGATGGAGAGCTCGCCCTAGAATTCCTCAAATGGCAGACCTACCATCAGCTCGCCTCCGTATCTTTTCTCCACCATTTCACTCAACGGGCATTGACTGCTATGGGCCATTCATTGCTAAGATTGGCAGGCGCCATGAGAAGAGATGGGGAGTGATTTTCAAGTGTTTAACAACCCGTGCAGTACACTTGGATCTGCTCAATTCAATGGATACGGATGCTTTCTTACTTGCCCTCCGTCGATTCATTGCACGGCGAGGCAGACCAGTGGAGATTCTCTCAGATCGAGGCACTAATTTTCGAGGGGCAGATGCGGAATTGAGAGCAGCCTTTGAGGAAATGGAAACACAGCTTCAACAGCAGCTGGCAAGTTACCAGATTGAGTTTAAATTCAACCCACCTAATGCTCCACATTTCGGAGGTGTATGGGAGCGGGAGATTCGCTCCATCAAGAATGCACTCCAGGTTGCTGTGGGAACTCAACCTCTACCAGAGGATGTGCTACACACCATCCTTGTTGAAGTAGAAGGTATCATTAACTCCAAGCCTCTTGGATATGTTTCAGCTGACATCGCTGACCCTGATCCTATAACCCCAAACATGCTCCTCATGGGGCGGCGGGATGCTTCCCTGCCGCAAGCCGTTTATGCTCCTGAAACTATAGGACGACGAAGATGGAGGCATTGTCAAAATATCATAGAGCATTTCTGGATTCATTTCTTGCGAGACTACCTGCCAGCACTTCAATCTCGCTACAAATGGCAGCAACAAAAGGAAGCCATTGCATTAGGGACTGTGGTAATGATAGTAGATCCTAATCTACCACGTGCAGACTGGCCTGTGGGACGAGTGCTGAAGCTCTTTCCGAGTCAAGACGGCAAAGTACGAGCAGTCGAAATTCAAGTAAAGGATAAAGTCTACACTCGTCCTGTGGCACGACTTATTCCCCTACCAGGGCTGCCAGACAGTGCTAAAGATCAGTCAGCATAAAGAATTCTCTTGATATACACATTTGCTACTCAAATGTGGGGGCGGCTGTTACGAATTCTCCATGTATGCCTGTCAGAGAGTATGAGCATGCAGTACACCAAGTACGCCTCAAGGTGGCACTGTTTGATCACATATGGACATTTAGTGAACTGATTACAGGCATCGTGCTTTAGTGTTGCATCAGCCATTCCGTCTGGAAAGTTCGCTCGATTGCACGCATTATTGGGACAATGTATGAGTGACAGACAAAGTAAGTTTAATGTTATTTGCTTATATACTGTTATTTGAAGATTGAATCAACAGCAAACACTGTTTAGCAGTTTAAATGTGTTTATTATGCACAATCTGTTTACTATCGCGATCTGTTCATTGCCCGTGAATTGTGCTCTGTAATATGAGACGCTGATCATTGAAAGTGTAAATTGATGATCATTATAATTTGTATTAACAAAGGAATAAGTGTACACTTGATACTTTGTATACTAAGATATATTTCAGTTTATTTGTTATTTGTATAAGAATGTTTCAGTAATTAATTTGTAATTCTTTTGTTCTTTATTGTTCTCAGAAACCTTGCATTTGTCCATCTCAGCAATCATTAAAGCTACATATATCATTTAATACTGACTCCAAGTTCTCTAATCGGAACCCTGTGGCGGTTAGCAAACATCGGTCCAGTAATTAATCCCTAATTGTAACACTCGCTATATTCTCATATCGCGTGCAAAGCCACGTTAAAAACGCGATATGTGTGGGCTATGTGTTAGCGTGTGTGCACGTTGTCGTCCGGAGGAGGGCTATGTGTGTGTGTGTGTGTGTGTCTGTGAAAAGAGCAGAGTGTGACAAGCTAGGAGATCTCCTCGCAAGTTCTTAGAGTTTTTGCTCAATAAAATAGTTAATCGTCGGTATTTTCAAGTCCATCGTCTGTATTTACATTCACCCACTGGCAGCTAAAATCCACGCCTTAAACTATCGAGCGTGTATGCACTGTGACAACTTTTATAATGTTAATTAGCTGCTGGTCATTTGACTCTGTCTCTCGCTAAAGGCAATCAGTGTCGACCAATCGCAACAGGCTGTCATCGGTCCAATCAGCGCAGATTAGCTTCGCGCTAAGGAGGGGCTTGGGAACAAATGAATCACTGGACGACTCATATGGCAGTCGCTGGGATAATTAGGTAAAAATATATGCAGATTATAAGGCCATGAAAGTGTTTTTTGACCTTGCATGCATATTAGACTGTTATTGGAGACCCTTACAACCAAAATATGACCCTATTTCATGTATAATAAGGGCTCTTTAAGTCACAATTTATAAGCAGCTGAATTCAGGTTAGTCGATCTTTTAAACAGCAGGTGGCACTGTGAAGGTCTGGAAGTGCAGATCTAGCTGTCTGAGCGAGCAGGTCTGAGCATGCGGTTGGGTCTCCGGGCCTGGAGCTTCACCTCTCGATGCATCCTTGGCCAAAGGGGCAGAGCAAGTACACATCCGGGAATTTCATCTGTATTTGGAAAGATGTGAACTTTAGAATTGGAACAGTAATTTGGCGACGGTTGATGACGGTTGTTTCACGAGGACAAGCACACTCCAAACGTCTCTGACGTCTATCCCCGATCACGAAATTGAATTGCATCACCGCAGTTGCAAATCCTTCGATCACGATGCAAACAGGTCCGATTAGCAAAGCCTCAGGCTGCGTCCGAAACTGCATACTTCCATACTATATAGTACGCTAAAATCAGTATGCGAGCAGTAGTTTGTGCGAATTTATAGAATCCGAAAATCAGTAGGCGAGAAGTACCCGGATGACTTACTACTTCCGGCGAGATTCTGAAATGCGCATCCCATGCACGCTGCGCTATCCCATAATGCCCCGTGAGAGAATTCATGAATGGAAGTGAGGCGACGCAACTGACGCAGGTAGGTCACGTGACCATGACAAAATGGCGGATGTCATACGTCCGAATTCCATTCATACTTTTCACAATCATACTGTATAGAACGTACTTTTCTAACGGCCGAGTACGTTTAAATTCAAATGCAGTACCTACTGAGTAGTAGGCGGTTTCGGACGCAGCTTCAGTCTCTCTCCAGTCAATCTTTCAGTGCGTAGGTCTTCTTATTCTTCTTGGTTTTATGGCGAGTTGCGAATCAACTTCAAAGGCGCCACCTACTGTGATGGAGTGTGAAGAGATTGAACTGGTTTCCTATATTCTTTTGTATAATCCACTATTTTTAATCAATTTTATTACTGCCTTTATTTGTCTCCCTGAATCTACACCATCTTTTAATAAACCTTTTATTGTGAAATCCTGGTATCCTAAACTATGCAATTCCTCTTTAGGATTTCTTATTTCATTTTTATGTGCTTTGCACCTATTTAAAACATGTTCCACTGTCTCCTCTGTTAGACATGTGTTACATAAACCTGTTACATGTTTCCCCATTATGTATTATGTTTGATTCAAATGTGTATGTCCTGTTCTTAAACGTGTTAAAATAACTTATTCTCTTCGTCTAAGATTATGCGATTTTTGCTTTTCTTTTCTTTATTTTATTTTTTTTGGATCTTATGATAATGTATACCTGTGTTATTGGACTCCCAAACTTTCTGCCATTTCCTATTGCATGCTTCTAAGATTAAGCTTTTCTCTTCGGCTCTGCTTAGTGAAATGCGTCTAATTGGTTCATTTTGTTGTAGAGATTCTTTAGCTATTTTATCTGCCTCCTCATTGCCCTGAAATCCAACATGCGCTGGTACCCACATTAGATGAATTATTACTCCCATCTGTGTTAGACTATTAAACTTGATCATGATTTCTGTTAGGATGTCATTTCTTTTTGATTCCATTGATTTTAAACTCATCAAGACAGCCATTGAATCAGAACATATTAGAGCTTTATCAGGTCTGGTTTCATATGTCCACTCTCATGCCATCAAAATTGCAACCATCAAAGCTGTGTATACTGAAGTTCCATCTGATATCCTTCCAGCCTTCCTCATTTCAAGCTCTGGGACATAGAAAGCCACTCCTGTCCTTCCTGATTCCATACTCTTGAACCATCTGTATATATTTGTAGATATGAGTAATATGCATTATTAATGTAGTTCTTGACATATGTGATTATGTTAACAGCTTCTTTCATCTCTCTTTTGTTTTCATGTAATTTTAAATCTACTTTTGGTTGATCAAGTAACCATGATGGAATTGGTGAAATTATATTTAAAGATGCAAATGATAATTTATCAAGACCATTCTCATTTACCCATTCTTTTATTTTCCAGGCATAGCCCTTCCCTTGTGTACTCATAAATACCCAGCAATCACTCAAAACCTTTCTTACAGGATGATTCTCACTTTGTCCCTGTAGATTTATCCAATAAGTCATAGCCTATTTTTGTCTTCTAATATGGAGTGGTGTTTCTGATGTCTCTATTTGAAGAGCAGCTATAGGTGTTGTTTTCACTGCCCCTAAAATAATTCTTAACGCCTTAGTTTGCATAATGTCTAGTTTCTTTAATGTTGACGATGCTGATTCATATACTGTACTATGCATCCATAGTTAAAACTAGATCGCATAAGTCCATCATAAATTCCTTTTAACGACTGTTTGTCAGCACCCCAGTCTTGTCCGGAAACTGCTCTCATTAAATTTACTATCTTTCCACATTTCTTAATATATAATTTATATGAATCTTCCATGTTAACCTTTGATTAAACCATAATCCTAGATACTTAAAATGTTCTACTTTCTCTAAACATGATCCATATAATGTAAGCTGTTTATTCCCTGTTATTTTCTTCTTTGTAAAAAATTTGATAACATGTTCTAGATGTTGAAAATTTTAAACCCCAATGTAATGACCATTTCTCTACTATATTTATAGCTTCTTGAAGTTTATCCATATTAAATGCAATATTCCTTCCTCTTTTCCACATTATTCCATCTTCTGCGTACAATGCTGTACTAATTCCTGGAGCAACATTTTTAAAAATATAATTAATCATGATGTTAAAAAGTATGGGACTGATCACACTTCCCTGTGGTGTTCCGTTTTCTATATTCACAATTTGTGAAACTTCACTACCTACTTGGACTTGAATTGTTCTATCAAATAAAAAACTCAATACCCAATTAAACATTACTCCTTCAATACCAATTGTCTTCATTCATCCACAGGAGGTCTGACGTTCACTCTAACTCTCACTCTCTCTCTCTCTCTGAACGTCTAACCACACAGATTGTCCAGCGATCCTCAAATGCAATAAGGATGTGGGTTAACAGTCTTTGTAACTCAAAACTGCAACACGAATTTGCTTTTGTGTAACTATTTCGAGGTAAACTATTAAAACAAAAACTCTAAATCAATCGCATCTCAACCTCTGCTCTGTTTCACTTTTCTTTCGTCTTCCAAGCCCCGCCCCTTAACCTCTAGAGGTCATCAAACTGAACACATAAAACGTTTTTATTTATTAGATAACTTTTTTCATAAAGAACTATGATTTCAAAATTGAAACACCTTTGTAATTTAGCAGAACGTTCTTAAAATAATTTGTTGAAAAATAAAAGAAAAAAAAATGCTTAAAGGTTCACGAAACACCAAAACACATTTTTTGAGCTGTTGACAGTCGTATATGTGTCCCACACTGCTAAAAACACTATTAGGACACCTATATTTCACTAAAAAGTGTAAATTGGTTGTTTTTGCGTTATTTCAAGCAAATTTGTACTTCCGGTTTGAAACGAATTTTTGAAGCTGCGTCACGGTCATGACATAATAGCGTTGTATTCCAGCGTGCAGACTGGGCGTCTGTGCCTGAGTGAGTCTTATTACGTCTTACAGTGTAATACATTAATGCATGAGTAAGGCTTGGTTCAAACCAATTAGCGCGCTCTATTGTGCAACTTCATTAATATTCATTAGTGTCACCGTGTCTACACCACTAAGACGCCACGTTGTGTTGGCAAAACAAGCGTGGAGTTTTGCTTTTATAGTTTGCTGCCGTTAAGTTTCGTTTTCATTTTCTCTCTGTGAGAGCTCATCTGGATCACGTGTGGATTAACAGTGTACGCGACGCTCGACAACAATAACTTACGTGTCTAAGGGGGATTATTGTTTACCTGAGAGCTGTTCTCATCTGCAAACGCTGAAATCTGGATTCGCTTGTAGTATTCTCTCCATAAAGACGCGGTTCTAGTTGCTGGTGATTGTCCTGTCTCTACAGATTTGGTAAGTGAGCGACCAGTGCTCTTTGTTTATTCAGTTTGTTCGTATCGAATTAAGTTAACTATTGCACTGAGTGCAGAAAAGTTAGCACCGCATTTTGTGACCAGAGTAACACACGCGGCTTTCTGATGCTACCTGCCGAAAGCATCTAAGTTTCCGGGAAATGCGGAGTTTTTTTTCTCTCATTCGCCGTGCGGTATCAAACATTGCATGAAAAATACACGCTTGCAGCAGTTCCTCGAATCAAATATCTCGTTTGTCGCGAGAGGCATGAATGAATTCCCTGAATGAAAGAGCCAAACTGCAGTTAAAGTCCAACATTTAATAATTTGGCAAATAATTCGACTACAGATGTCCATGTAGGTTAAACACCATCACTTTCTCCTGTCTGTGTGGGTGTGTATTTTGACTCTGAAACTCGTGCGTGCACAAATAGACACTCCCACACCATCCCACTTTAGTTCCTCCGACACTCCCCCCTAAACAGAGCTGGACACGCCCACTTTTCTGACTTTTTCCAAAGTAGAGGTGTGAAAACACCCTGCTGAAACAAGGGGGTTTCATGG